AAACAATTGGTATATTATTTTACAGGTAGAAAAATGATTGCGCGTAGAGGTCTTTAGCAGTGGGAGGAAACCGGAGGACCCGGAGAAAACCCACGAGGTTGGACAGGCGACCCTACTCCTTGTCACGTACAACCGGGTATTCGATACGACGCCAGTTGACTAAATGACAGGCCTTATGATACAGCGCGCACGTGCTATCTATTCGGCCATCCCCCCCCCGCAATTTTATCAGACATGGAATGTGAAAATGCTTTGGAACTATAAACTAGATAACACGTTACATTAATTACTCAATTGAAGCCAATATGGAACCGGCTAATTATTTTATAGGCCACCACTGCCTTCAGTGTTTAAATATAACAATGAACACAATAGCCTAAAGTATATTTAGTAATCCTTGTTGTGGTTACAAAATCCAAAATAATTACGATTGCGTTTAACTTTCACAATGACATATTTGGTTACCGGCCATTCAGTCATACTGTTGTGTGATATAAAAGAACTGAACCTGTAATTGTTATATTGTACTGTATATGGCGGTACACTTGACACGTGTACGACCTGAAAATATGTTACGACTAATTACGAAAAGTAAAACCAAAAGTAAAGGGGCCTCTACAATGAATAAAACTATTAATATGTCGTCTAGCCGTGACGATATCCAAATGGTGTTTTAGATAGTAAATTAGACATATAAAACATATAACGTTGCCATCCCGACCCCAATGCCCATGAAGACGAGTTTAAGACAAACCAATCGTGGAATGGAATTAATAAAAGTAATATAACTTTTATTTTGTTTTGGACAATACGTTTTCTGGTTAAGACTTTAACCTGAAAAACCTGCGTGCTAGTGACAATTTCGCCAGTCATATCTAAATGGTTCAGTATTTTGAACTGATAATAAAAACTAGTTATATTTCTTTAACTTTTGATATACTTAAATCCAGATGTTCTCTGAAATGCTCGGGCAATTATTTATGGCAAAGATATATATAAAAACAATGACCTAAAGCTTTAAAAATGTTTATTTCCTAATTTAAAAATTGGCACTCTATATAAAAATAAATATGTATAACTTGATACACCCTAAGAACCAAATTAAATTTAAAGAAGCAAGGATATATATGAAAATAGTTATAATGCATGATTGTATTGAAACTAGATCAAAATAATACTGTAAACATTATTTAAACAGTACGTTAGTCGACAGAAAATTTCTGTAGAAAATAAACACTTACACACATCTTGGAATAAGCATGATTTAAAATGATCATGGCTAAAACAATTTTGAGCGGATCAATCATTGGTATTCAAAATAAAACCTTTGGCTATTTGTAAATAGGAACACGAGTAGAAATCTAAATAACTGAAAGATCTTTAATTTTGCACATAATATAAGTAAAGACAGCAATCCTCAAAATTTCCAATATCATGATAAACCTGAGAATTCCTCGTTCGGCATTTTTGTCCAAAAGTGGCAAAAACGTGTTAAATTTTTTGACACAATTTGCCACGTGTGTAACGTGGTAAAAACAAAATGCCACGTCTGTCTGAAGTTCCAAAACGTATTTTGTTTAAATTGCCATGTTTTTGGAACGAGGTATTTTGTCCAGAACGGGGCTGTTTACAAGGTTGGATACATGATTTTTAAAGGGTTGGGCGTGGGGTTCAGTTAAACCAAAGTCTCGTCGAGCGTATCGAGGACAGCATAATATTATTTGGTGAAACTTTCAAGCGATTATGTAGAGAAAAAAACCCTACAAAGTAAAGTCGACTAGAAATGACATTCGTTGTACAAAAGGAGTTTGTTACATTCTTTGTTGCAATTTCATATGTTCACACAATATTTCCAACAAAGAGAAATTAAAAACAGCCAAGCTCAAAGCGGAGCTAACTCAATAATTGTATTTTAGGTCTTTGAACATTATTAATTACAAATATGCTGTTCCTGATTTTATATAATAAACGGCGGGTTTAATATGAAAACGTATCATGTATATTGAGTTAGTTGCGCGGTCCAAAGGTAGAAGATTTTAAGGGCTTTAACACAAAATTAAGCAGTTTTATTCTCCAAAATATAGTCCAGATCAACCCTTTATATAAGAATCCAGACATAGGCCTGTCACCTGAAGGACGTAAATGTAATTATCATTTTTAATAAAGTTGTTCGCATCGCCCCGCTTTGCATGTCATTATATAACCCTAAATTGTGTCTATTTCATGTTTCGATGGAATTTAATTGGAAGTTTAGATACTGCTTTTGCAATTTTTATACATACCAGTGAGTGCCAGTTACATAAAATTTTATGAGATATATTAAATATAATATCTTTTATTATATAAAAAAACATGAACATTATATTTGTAATTAATAATGTTCAAAGACCTAAAATACAATTATTGATTTCGCTCCGCTTTGAACTTGGCTGTTTTTCATTTCTCACATCTCTTTGTTGGAAATATTGTGTGAACATAGAATGTAACAAACTCTTTTAATGCAACGAATGTCATTTCTAGTCAACTTACTTTGCCTTGTGTTTTTTCCTCTACATACTAGCTTGAAAGTGACGCCAAATAATATTATGTTGTCCTCGATACGATCAACGAGACTTTGGTTTGGGTGAACCCCACCCCAAACTCTTTTGAAAAATCATGTATCCGACCATGTGAACATCCTCGTTCTGGACAAAATACCTCGTTCCAAAAACATGGCCAGTTGAAAAAGAAAATATGTTTTTTAACTCAAGACAGACGTGGCATTTTGTTTTTACCACGTTACACACGTGGGGAAATTATGGCAAAAATTTTAACACGTTTTTGCCACGTTTGGACAAAAATGCCGAACGAGGCATTCTGAGGTTAATAGTGCAATATATTCATAAAATAAGATATACAGACGCGTTACATTGTAAATTAAAATCAACCCATTCCACCCTATATAATAAATCACTAATTCATTTTCTGATCGAAAAATATCTGGAGCGAAATGCTAAAAATTATCCTTAAACATAATTTTAATATAACATTAAACCAAAATAGATCCATTTTGGGTATTCAGAAATAAACAGGCTTCAATTATACGAATGAGATTTGACTATATATCTAGATCTAAATTAAAACACTTTAAGTGAGATAAGTCTCAATTTTTCGATCAATTACTACATGTAAGAATAGAGCTTTATAAGACCATAAATGCACTATACATGAAATCTGCATAAGGTTGTAGGTATGATCCTCCAATCCAATCCCCCACTTAAGTATACTCCCCGCTATTTTTTTTTCTTGAAGGCCCGGCCCGATTTGCCATACCACGCACGTGGTTTCACTAGAGTCGCGGTCATCGAGTGATTTGTCTTATTGTATATATGCTTGCTCGATTCTCCTTTATTGTATGGTGACTTGTTGTATGCAAAGTTGATTTCCGCTGATGTCGTCATAATATTCCGGTTCGATGGATTTCGCGAAATGGATTTCGCGAAATGTTTTTGGAGAAATGTTACTGAAGAAATGTTTCTGGGGAAATATTTTGCAAGAATGATATTTGGAGATTTGTATTTATAAATTTGTTGTTCCAGATTTGTTTTTCGTTGTATTTTTCTATTGAAATTAGAAATGAAATGAAATAAAATTTAACGTCCTACTGTTCTGCTCCTATGCTGGGCTAATGAAGACAGGCATACGCCATACAGTGGGCTATGAGGGAAATTTTGCCCGGGCAGCGGCACTATCGCCTACTCTTATATCGAATTCCAACTGCCAAGGGATCTTTTACGTGCATTCCAATGTATACACGGGACCTCGGTTTTTCGTCTCATCCGAAGGACTAGACAGCTATCCTTGTCAGGCCCTCCGTCCTGCATCACTGACAAGGGGAAACCACGTCGGAAAATCTAGATGAACTTTCTCGGCCAATTATGCAGGGATCGAACATCCGACCTCCAGGCTAGCGAGCTAGCGTCTTACCCACTTAGCCACGTGATCCCCTTATTGAAATTAGAAGATACATAACCATAGAACTTTATAACCAACAAGTATATTTGCTGCCCACGTAATTAAGAGTAATTTGTGAGGACTTCCTGTTTATTTCAAGTCTAAAATTTTAAAATACCACCATAACGGGATGTTATTGATGGCCAGTTTGTAATATTTGGAAATGTCAGCTAAGTCGTCAATTAACTGTTCCATTATAATATACCTATTTAAGAACCGAAAGCCTATTCCATATCCACACACATGTAAAACGTATTCGTATATCGGTATAATATCTATTTTAGTAGCACTATATTGCCATCAATATTTTTTCAGAGACAAACAAATTTTTACAAATTCCAACAAATGTGATTAAAGTAATTAACGTTTAAATTTTTTATTTTTCTTGTTCATGAGAAGCGCTTAAAGAGGGATTGAGTTCTAAGAAAATCGTTTAGGGGGATCCACGTATTATCATTGAAGGAGTCTGTAATGCCTTATTTATTCCGATTATCCAGAATTTTTAGAATATTAAGAGGAAATAAGTGCAAAAAAATATGAACTATGTGAACTTATTGTCATGGAAGGGATAGAAGTTAATGCTTTTGTATTGCGATTATCCAGAGTTTTGAGAATAGCCTTTGTTCGGAATAAGGATGAAAACATATATTTGTCATATTTTCATGATGTATTAGTCAACACTTGATAGCTCAACAATTCAGTTTTTGCCCCCCACACCTTTTACTTTCGCTAAAAAAATGTCGTTGTTATTTAAAATGTTTTTCAAATTGTTACCATTCCACAAAGCTGTCGTAAGCGATTTCACAATATACATGCAATCATTTCAGATGGCAAATACAGCCATATTAATCTTAATTGTCTGAATTCCAGATCTGTCAAATATCTATAGAGTGCGTAGTTCAAATGTTCAAATCCTTAATGTCAGAGACCTCTTCAACTAATTGCCCCATTATATTAGACCTTTAAAAGTGCAATTTGACCACCATCTTAATACCAACATCAAACTATGTTAACAGATTTCTCTGCACTTTTAGTTGTTGTAAATCACATCATCCGTCGATTGTGGATCGGAAGGTTTTACCGAATCCACCAGTGAACATGTTTTCGTTGGTAGCTTTGGGCGTTCTCAGTAAGTACCTTTTATGATATGAGTTTATATGAGTTCCGTCTTCATTAGCCCAGTTTAGGAGCAGAACAGTAGGACGTTAAACTTCATTTCATTTCATTTATATGAGTTAAATAGAAATATGAAATTGACTGAAATATTATGTTGACAGTATTACCATCTCCAGGAGTGAGTCGGAAGATGGTCAAGCTGTTAGGGTACATGACTTTTGATTGGAATCTAATGCCCCAGCCTTAAATTCCCGTGAGGGTCTAACCCTGTTGAGTTTTAAGGTTCGGTACACCATAGAAGCTTATAAAATACATGTTTAAAAGGCAGAAGAAAGGAATTGGCCCGATTAACACTAAAATTAGTCCTCATAGTTTGAATTCGATGATAAGTCAGCGTCAAGACCCTTTATCCCCTTTTATTTCTATATCCCCAGCTCTCCTTCGGTTTTCCCAAGTAAGTAATACACAGACTCAATAACTAGTAGGTTCTGGCTCGGTCCTGGCGTTGGCCCAGAAAATGCTCCGAGAATTTCCTGCCTGGTTCCCCAAGGATGGTCTGGCAAGAAATAGCGTCTAGTCGCTCGGATGGGATAGAAATATGCATGGCACAATGTATACAATGACGTATGCCCTGCTTCAATCGCGCAGTTGGTGCATTAACGTAGGCCGTTGAAACCCATGTTGTCATTCACTTATATCAGAACGTGTCATATAATATTTTAATTTACTACATAAGTTTTATGAGACGGACTCATAGTATGCTCCCCGTTATCCATGTACGCGTGTTTGCGGCGTTTTCGCCAGCGAAAAGTGGGTCTAATGCAGATGATTTGCGAAAACGCGCGCGGGAACTCCTCAAAAGCGCGTATATGGAAAACATGCTTTACAATAAGGAACTTTTCACGGACTACTTTAAATCTAGTAAATGGGTCGCAAGCCTCATAAATTAATCGATACAATTTTATATATAACACGAGTTGGATATAACCGCCAGTGTACCCGTACAGTCAAATCACTCGAAAATTATTGTTTTTACCCATGTAGAGCTGTCAAGGGCTACCGCGTAGTGGGGGCCCAAAGGTCGCTTAGTTTGGAAAATATTGTCAATATGTAGTATTTTAACACCAGTTTAAATATCAATTATTAGCATATAAATTTTATGTTTTTCAATTCTAGGTTTTATAACAAACAGTTTTGCTATTTGTCCGGAAAATCCCGAGCTACGTGCTAAAGAATGTGTTGCCGTATTTACCCGCTCTAGAAATGCGAGTCACCAGGGACCAGACGCTATTTTACAAATTTGTTCGTAAGTACACATATTAAGGATATAACCTTATTTTGTTTTATCTATCTATCTATATATATATTTGTGACTGTCGTTAGTCTGTCTGTCTGTCTGTTGGGGGTTGGCGGCTACACTAGGTCTGCCCCGAGTCTGAAATTTGGGGTATAGGGGTAGCTCGGACCGGGGAGTAACATAGGCCAGGTGGCGTTAGTCTACTACTTCCGGTTTCGGGGTTATGAATCCGAGCGAAGCCGGGCATTCTTCTAGTATATACATAAATAAACAACTATAGGCTAATGTGTGTATACACATATATATCTGATGAAGTGTTCCCAGCAAGACAACTGCCCTTTAATCACTATAATGAATTAAAATGATTCAATATCCTCATTTATATACTTTATACATCCACGTAAGCGGAACCAAATTATGGAATGAATGCCATATAGTATTTCGTAAAATGTTTAATGTCATTGTATATATTTAATGTCATTGTATATATTTAATGTCATTGTATATATTTAGTTCTGCCCGGTTTGGGTTATTCCTGTAATTTTGATTACTTGTTGAATATACATTATATTAGTGCATATTTATCACTGAGACATGGATACTTATTGTCTGATAGGTCATTCTAACATTGATCGTAACCTAGACACCTGAATATAGAAGTCGTTTGGTTAACAATTTGTTGCTCTATTCGTGAGCAAGGGAAGATTACCTGCTGGCTAATCTCTTCGCCGATCGTCCGACGAGTTTTGTCCGTGACTCATCAGATGTAGTCACTGGTGGCAGAATTACCTTTTTTTCTATTTCATTAAGTTTCTTTTGTAGGGCTTCCCAGTGTCATGCTTAAGATGTTTAGACCCCTTTATTTACGTTTCCCTTATTAGAGTATTCTTCTTGAGCTGTTTCCATTCACTATTAAAGTCCTTTATTTACTATTTTATTTAAAAGGTTAGTTTATGGAGCTTTAGATTGTTTAAGAGAAATACTAAATGATTGTGATGTATATAACAATATGGGACTACTGAATTTGCCTGAAGATTATGAAAGAATAAAATCTAGTATAAACCCAGTCTGTGCTGGTGATACACGTACATGTAGGTACAGCAATTTATTATTAACAAAATTTGATAATTGTAGAGGGATATAGGGAGCTGACATGATCATTTTGCCTGCTCCCCGATCTCACATTCATTTATAGTGAATAAAATATCTCATTTTTAAAAATTCAGAAAGGAAAGTAAATTATCAACTGTGAGAATACCGACTAAAATTGATGTTTGTGAAATGATTTATATTCGCCAATTAAATATCAAATTTATATGACCTTGGCAGAACCATTATTTCTGACATTTTTCACAGGCCAGATAATTAAATACTAGGGACCACTCGTTTAAATGTCTATAAAAGTATCCTGATCACGTGATAATGTGGTTTAGATAATTAGATAATTATATGCCAAATTAACTCACGCACAATATTTACATCCAAGCTCCGAGAGATGAGGTCTCTTATTATCTAAGCTCCAATAGGTGTCACTCGGGTAATTAACCCTAATATATTCTTTATATGAAATAATAATTAAACATACATGTAATTATTTAATATAGAATAATGAAGCTAATTATTCGACGGTTTCTATATAAACAGATATTGCACAATACTAATTATAACCTGGTTTAGTGTTGCAGTTATCTAATCTTCCAGCCAAATAACAATACTGTTATTAGTGCTTTTCACAGAGTTAAAATATTTGTGTTCATGGTTAAATTTGCAAAACTATTAAGTCAGGGAACTCATGTTAGCCAATATGTGACGGATATTTCGTCTCGTTTTCTATGGTAGCCTATTTACGTACTGATAAGTGAACCATTAATAGTTCAAAATTATAAATTTCCCCAATTAATCTAGTTCACATGCTGATATTAATTTATTACATTCTGGAAAAACAAAAGGAACCGAAATGTATGATGTGCTACTGATCCCTATCTTATAAACTTACTAGCAGGATACCCGGCTTCGCTCGGGGGTCATAACTCCGAAACCGGAAGAGGTAGACTAACGCCATCTGGCCTATGTTACTCCCCGGTCCGAGCTACCCCATACCCCAAAATTCAGACTCGGGACAGACCTAGTGTAGCTACCAACCCCGAACAGACCGGCTTCGCTCGGGGGTCATAACTCCGAAACCGGAAGTGGTAGACTAACGCCACCTGGCCTATGTTAATCCCCGGTCCGAGCTACCCCTATACCCCAAATTTCAGACTCGGGGCAGACCTAGTGTAGCCGCCAACCCCGAACAGACAGACTTTGCTCGGGGGTCATAACTCCGAAACCGGAAGTGGTAGACTAACGCCACCTGGCCTATGTTACTCCCCGTTCCGAGCTACCCCATACCCCAAATTTCAGACTCGGGTCAGACCTAGTGTAGCCGCCAACCCCGAACAGACCGGCTTCGCTCGGGGGTCATAACTCCGAAACCGGAAGTGGTAGACTAACGCCACCTGGCCTATGTTACTCCCCGGTCCGAGCTACCCCTATACTCCAAATTTCAGACTCGGGGCATATGTAGCCGCCAATCCCGAACAGACAGACTTCGCTCGGGGGTCATAACTCCGAAACCGGAAGTGGTAGACTAACGCCACCTGGCCTATGTTACTCCCCGGTCCGAGCTACCCCTATACCCCAAATTTCAGACTCAGGTCAGACCTAGTGTAGCCGCCAACCCCGAACAGACCGGCTTCGCTCGGGGGTGATAACTCCGAAACCGGAAGTGGTAGACTAACGCCACCTGGCCTATGTTACTCCCCGGTCCGAGCTAACCCTATACCCCAAATTTTAGACTCGGGGCAGACCTAGTGTAGCCGCCAACCCCGAACAGACAGACAGACAGACAGACAGACAAACGACAGTCACACATATATATATATATAGATAAATGATTGGCTTGATGTTTATCTAGGTATATAAAGGAACACATGATCAGCTAGAAGTGGAAAGCTACTTATTGGTCAACTTAAAGTAGCTAAGTCTCTAACTCAATATCATCAAAAACCTTCGACATTGAAAACACGAATTATTTGTCAATTCAAATCAACATTCAATATTCAAGACAAAATAAACATTTTACCATTGGTACACGAATCGCGTACCATAATGCGTTTCAGCGCGCCATTTGGAACAAGGGACTCAAAGAATGCCGCTAGACATAGTACACAAGTCATGTCAAATGGTGATGCTATATTCTTATCTGGAGAGCATGCGCAATAAATATCATCGGTGTAGACTGGAATAACCAGACGCTAAAGATTGCCATTCAGTTGAGACTTCTGGCGTATTTCGACGAACATAACTGATTAGAAATTACAGTAAAAACAGAAACGGTTAAATGTAAATCAGTTTATATACATTCACATTACATTATTATATGCGTTGCGACCCATTTGTGTCAATTTCTAGGTCCAAAATATTAGCGATTTAGCTCCTTTAAATCAACTTCGATGTTGTGAAAGAATGGGATTCTGATATTCAGTTATTTTTGGAATATGTCAATGTGATTCACATCGGAATTTAATAAGTAATATTGTCAATTTATTCTTCTAAACAACGATTGATTATTGTTATTTATTACATTTATGTCACATCTAATCCTACCTGACACGAATCATCTCTTTTGAGTTGAAGCGCTAAAAGCTGGCTATGCTTGACATTTTAAAACGCAAGGGCTGGCTATGCTTGACATTTTAAAACGCAAGAGGATTAACTTGGCGTCATGAAGGCGCTTTTTTTTATCTATTTTCTTGTAGTTCACTGAAGCCATGAAAAACCAAATACAATTCCATTAAAACACGCTTAAAGCGCGAAGAGGATATATTTACATTAGGTTGCACATTGTCAGAAAATATTACTGCTGAATTCCCCGATCGTCCGAATTTTGAGAGCACGTGTCAGAGATACACTCGTATAAACAATTAATTCGAATAAAAGTAGGTAGAAGTAATTCAGATTTCCGCTCTTATCAGTTGTTAAAGTTGTTATTCTGAAAATAAGCGAAGTAATGTGTTTTCAGTCCTCACATTAGAGGTATTATAGATCGCTTTGTGTTAATTTCCGTTCCTATTTATTCCTCACGTAAGGACAGTATTCTATCGTTTCCAGTTCTGGCTTGATCTTACCACGGTAATAAGGACTGTGTCGTTGTGCGCATTGGTAGGATAAAGTCTAGATATGGACGAAATTATGCGGTTGGTTGATTGTGTATTAGTTTTAAAATCTACATGTGATCGTGGATATACATGCGCTGTTCGATTGTTTTCATCTAATTAAATGTATACTCACCAGATGAATACTTTTTTATTTTTGCTTCAACTTTATTCATCTATTTATTAAATGAAATGAAATGGGGTTTAACGTCCTACTGTTCTGTTCCGACTGGGCTAATGAGGACGGGCATATGCCAGACAATATGCTATGAGGGAAATTTTGCCCAGACAGCGGCACGGCTTTCTCTTATATCGAATGCAAACTGCCAAGGGATCGTTTACGTACACGCTAATTCCACCCGAATTACTGCATTGAAGGAACCACGTCGGAAAAGCCCAATGAACTTTCTCGGCCAACGGAGGGACAGAACTTGTTTTATAATCTGATTATCAAAGTTGGTATTAGTAACTAAACAACTTCCAAACAATTGGTACGGACTTCAGCAAATCTAGCCTAGTTAGTGGCGTGGCATTTTGGGTGTGTCTGTCAGGGGTACCCCAGCGCACAAAATGTCTGGCAATGGTTATTCTTGAACAACTTCCAAGCAGATTTAAGCTAATCTAGCTCAGCTGTCATTGTTCCCAATACGAGAAATGTGTGTCAGTTTATTTTTGTAATAGCTTAATATTCGTAAGGTATATTTTCACGTGGTACACTTTTGAGCTAATCTAGCCCAAAAATACATGTCTAGAATCACTGTCCTTACAGCCACGCCCACCGCCAGACCGGCAGACTTACATTCTGATGATACCTGATGTATATGTCCACACATTATCACTGGAAACGAGAACCTATTTTTATGAAAATTTCCTTATGTAAACCTTTAACTGGCAACAATGTATTGCAATATGTATTGAAGTATATTTCAAAAACTTTTTACCTGCAACCGGTCTCACCATCTGATTGATAATTTCCTCCCTTCACTAATTCTTTTATTTAGTTCTTTCCCACTGTGAAAATAAATTTAATGAATGCGGACAATATGGTGCTCAGTTAGAAGCGGCAGGTGCGCTGGATCCAGTTGCACGTTGTGGGTAAGTATAACTATTGTGTTTACGATCACATACTATCTAATAATACCAATAATCTTTAGAGACATTTAGTAACTCGATGCCCGTCTTCATTAGCCCAGTCGTAGCAGAACAATAGGACGTTAAACCCTATTTCATTTCATTTCCTTTCTAAACATGCCCAATAACACTAGTCTTTATGAAGACTAATTATAACCATTGCAACATTTGAATACCATGGAGCTAAATACTTGGAGGGGATCATAGAAATACATGTCTTTATCGATGTTCTCCACTTCATATAGCCTACCTGTAAATCCCACTGGTTTGGTAGGTCAAGGGTCATACAGGTATATAGAATATAAAATACTTATATTTTACAGTGTTATGAGACAACATGTTGAGTGTAATGATCAATTACTAGTAGATTGTGGTTCAATCATGCCTGAAATGATTAAACAGCGTTTAGCAGCCGCTGGTCAACAATACAATCAAACATGTAAGTTAAAAATGTTGATGGTATAATTCATTGTTCTTTGTTTCAGTTGTATCATACCAATCTTATAAATTAACAGGATGATGACTATTGTGACCTGGGGAGGGGTATGATTACTTGGTACCACTATCAAGATCACTTGGTACCAACCACCTTTCATTATTAGATATGTTAAGAGCTCTTCTTCTTTTGTGTTGCCATTCACAGTGGCCTTTACAGTTTTCATTTTTTACCGCCACTGTACCTCGTCAAGATAACTTGATTTGCTTAATTTTGCTAAATGCTTTCGGAATCTATCTCTGCTTCAATAATGATCATTTTATGCCACAATAAGCAAAATGATCGATACTTTATAAAATGATCAATATGCAATTAAAAATGTGTGTCATCTAATTACGGGGGGGGGGGGGGCTGAATGGTTAGCGTGCGCGCGCTGTATCATAAAGTCTGTCATTGAGTCGACTGGCGTGGTTTCGAATCCCTGGAGTAGGATCGCCTATCCAACCTCGTGGGTTTTCTCCGGGTCCTCCGGTTTCCTCCTACGGCTAAAGACCCCTACGCGCAAGCGAATTATTGAAATAAAATTAAACCATGTGTTAGTCCCGAAATGACCTAGTTTGTGTCGAGTGGACGTTAAACCCCATCTCTCTCTCTCTCTCTCTCTCTCTCTCTCTCTAAAAAAAACGGTATAGGCAAAATAGTGTAATAAGGCAAAATAGTGTAATCAGCATATGGGCTGTTCACCGTGTACAAATTAAAACACACGACAAACAGTGGCAACAGGTGTCCGGAAGAGTAAGCTTACCCTGCCTGGCACCACACCCGCCATAACTGCATCCAAACTGTTAGACGAAATCTTGGTAACATAGCGTCATTGGCCAATGGACTATCGGTATGCAAAATGCGCGTGATAAACAGTGTTAACGATGTACTAGAAGACATAATCAGGGAGATAGTATACGCGTCATATAATGTTTTATTGGCTGATCTAAATAGAAATCCCTCTGCCAGAATACATTACAAAATTGAAAGTAATAAAATTTGAAAAATTGGTACAAAAATTTTAATAGGATTATTCATCACAATATTTATTTTCCGTTTTTCTCTTTTAGGTGTTGGGAATGACCTTGCAGGTAATGTATACAATTTATAAATTTCAGATCTCCTTATGTTGTTCAAATGATAATCTGTGACGAGCTGTCTAATCATGCGTATAAAATGAGATATAATTATTTGTAAAATGAATAATCAAAATTTACCTAAATGCTTAATACAGAAAACTAGGAAGTTAAACCATATACAGTTTGCCTAACGTGAGTTCCCTGACTTAATTATTGTTGCAAATTTAACCATGAACACAAATTTTTAACTATGTGAAAAGCATTAATAACAGTATAATTATTAGTTTGGAAGATTAATAAGTAAACTGTAACTCTACACCAGGCTATAATTATTATTGTAGCACAAATTAGAAATTTCCTCGATTCTGATTGGTCGAAAAGTGTGGTCGAATGGACAATAAACCCCCTCTAAATTTTCAAGGCGAATTACTGCGTATAAATAGAACAGTGTACTTTTTTTCATTTTTGTGCCAATGATCTTCCTCAAGTCAAATGTTTATTGGCAAATATCTTCAAGGAATTCTGCACACATGACTATCACACCAGTTTCAAACATCATCTTTTATGAAATCACATTTCTGAAATACATAAAACAGTAGAAAATCAGTCATAAATTAATTAAAACCGTTTTCAGGTATCCAAATATATTCGTAACTAGGCAGTGACAGTGTCAGTAGCCTATGTTTTCTTTTTTGGTAGGCTAGCTTCACTCACCAATTTTTATTAATCAGGTGGATTTTTTTTTAAAAAAATCATGCTTTCAAAATCTGACTAGCATGATCTACCTAATAATAAATCATTGGTCACAAGGAATCGCTTGAAAATACAATGAGGGAGTCGAATACAGCAGCTGAAATATAGGCCTAATCATTATCATTTATGCCAAAATTGTCATTTGTTGACAACACGTCAGAACAGCTACATAGCAACCACTGGCATCTTAGACTAGACATCATTGTCATGGTTTATACGGTATTTTAGAGGATGTAAGTATGAACTGCAATTGTGTAAAGAAGAACTAGCTACAACATTGTGATAACAGTCTGCAAAATAAAATAATAAATGCTGGAAACTTACATGAAACTCCCGAAGCGAAGTCATTTTTGTTGCCAAGAGTTACTCCTCTTTTAGTCTCGGATAGCAGGGCGGAATTATTTCAATCACGCTGACACTCGTCTCGAAATACCGCAATAAAAATACTAATTTCTCGTTCTTTTAAAGATCTTCAAACGTTAAAAATATTTTGTTGTTTTCGATATCCGAATAACATTTTCTTTCATAATTCATTTACCAGCAACTCGAGACTCAAAAATTTTAGATTTGCAGGTAAGCAAGAGACCGTCTATTGGAAATATTTTGAAAAATGAACGCAAGCGCGTGACCAAATAACGACTTTTTAAAATGGGTGTAAAAATGTTTTCTAAATAGTTCCGAAGAAAATCTCCAAATATTTGTGCTACAATATCGATAAACACATTCCTGTTACGTGTTTATCGGGGGTTTATTGTCCATTTAACCATGCTTGAATTATCCATTAGAACAACTCAACGCTGGGGTTAGGGTAACACATATGTTAACAAGTTAAATTATTATTTCATATAAAAATATATTAGGTTTAGTTACTCGAGTGGCATCTACTGATTGGAGCTTAGATAATACGGGACCTCATCTCGCGACCCCTATAGCATAGTTATGTTTGGAAGATGACAATGTGATTCATATCGGAATTCAACAAATAATACTGTCAATTTTGTCCTCTAAACAACAATTGATTGTTGTTATTTATTTTATTTCTGTCACATCTAACTACAATAAAGCATATAATCCTACCTGACACAAATCATCTCTTTTAAATTGAAGCGCTAAAAGCTGGCTAACTTAACGTCATGAAGGTGGGTTTTAGCTATTTTCTTGCAGCTAACCGAAGCTATGAAAAGCCAACTACAATTTCATTAAAAAAAAGATGAAAGCGCGAAGAGGATATATTTACATTAGGCTGCCCATAGTCAAAAAATATTACTGCTGAATTCCCCGATCGTCCGAAATATGAGAGCACGGGTCAGAGGTACACTCGTATAAACAATTAATTCGAATAAAAGTAGGTAGAAGTAATTCAGATGTCTCCTTTTGTCAGTTTAGAAAATTAAAGTTGTTATTCTGAAAATAAAAGAAGTAATGTGTTTTCAGTCCTTACATCAGTAGTATTAAAGTTCCATAACATTTTCAATCGTCTGGCTGCCATATTGGATTTAAAAAACCCACCTTCAAATCAATACTCAGTCGCCATTTTCTTTCCGAAAACCGCCTTTATTACATTTGTTGTGACTTATGTTCCTGTCATATTTTATTTTTGCCTCCATTAGCCTCTAGGTAAAAGAAATATAATATGTTAAAGGAAGAAGATACCTTCTATTGAAACCTGACTTTCAGATGCCAGAGTGTGAGTCAACTGGCGTGGTTTCGATTCCCCGGTTGTACGTGACAAGGAGTTGGGTCGCCTGTTCAACCTCGTGGGTTATCTCCGGGTCCTCCGGTTTTTTTCCACTGCCAAAGATCCCTAGGCACAAACGTATTATTGTAATAAAACTGAACCATGAGTTAGTCCCGACATGACCTAGTTTTGTGTCGAGTGGACGTTAAACCCCGTTTCTCTCTCTCTCTGTCTTGTCAGATGACGGCAGTATTTTATCATTATTTATTAACAATAGCTTTTTCGCAGTGGTGGTATTCACCATCCAGATTTGATAGAAATATTGCTGTTGGTTAATTTCATATGACTGACTTAATGCAGCCCTTCTTTACTATTACAAGGAAAAGAGTCACGTCGACAAATGACGGGTATGAAGTGTCAATCATTATCGAATACTTCTGCCAGTTTGTGAAAAAAGACAAAAACCGATAAAATTAGTATAATATCATGCTGTAACTAGTATTTCCATATATACACGAGGATGGTCGATAATAACAGGCGATATTATTAGATGTTCAATATGGATAAGTATTATTATTATTATTATTATTATTAAATCATTTCATGTTACAGATGATGTTGTTAGTGATATATCAAAAAGAGCGATTGCCATAGGTGGGTATTATACATTATTTTATCAAAGACTCTGGTCAACTGTAAGAAAACTCCTGAATCCTTTGTAATTTCAACAATTAAATTGTTATACATACATACTTTTAGTTTTTAATACATAATACATTTCAATGTGATATACCGGTATATAGATACGCTTTTCTAATACATAAACATTTCCACGTGATATACCGGTATATAGATACGCTTTTCTTATACATAAACATTTCAACGTGATATACCGGTATATAGATACGCTTTTCTTATACATAAACATGTCCACGTGATATACCGGTATATAGATACGCTTTTCTTATAGATAAACATTTCAACGTGATATACCGGTATATAGATACGATTTTCTTATAGATAAACATTTCAACGTAATATTATCTCCGTAAGTAGATATGTGATAAATTACCCTCAATGAGGCCGTGAGTTATTTCACATATTGACCGAGGGTAATAGTTGTCTAACATGCCGACATCAATGTTAAATTTATCCTAATTGATTCCATCTATAAGACACAGGTTTAGCCCATATTGACCCTGCGACTGATATGACAAAATTCAGAAAATAAGTCCTCAGTTGCACGTGGATTACATTTTAGTACCGTTTCATAACATGCATGGAAGACCAAAGGAAATAACATGCCAAGGTGTGTAAATATTATTATTATTAAATTATTTCATGTTACAGATCATGTGGTCAGTGATATATCAAAAAGAGTAAATGCCATAGGTAGGTATTATACATTATTTTATCAAAGACTCTCGTCAAATTGATTTCACTTATAAGACAATAATAACATGCCAAGGTGTGTAAATATTATTATTAAATCATTTCATGTTGCAGTTGATGTTATCAGTGATATATCAAAACGAGATGATGATACAGGTAGGTATTACTCTTATATCCACTAAAAACTCAGGTCAACTAGGTGCTGCGTGGAATATTAATGTAGGAACATTAAAGGAAAACACTTTTACAAGTAACCATTTTCGTGAAATGTAGTACAAAACTAAGTAAATCTAAACGACCTATTTACTAATCAGAACTAGAAATCAAGTGTGTAAAGAATTCAAGTCTGGTCAGATCACATATACATGTAATTTAGGGAGTTGCTCTTATTTAATAAAACTGTATCACATTTTCTGTAGGTGGTCTCGATTTCCGGATTTCCCGACAAGAGTGTTCTACAAGATTAATGAAATGTGTCCCATATCTGTCAGCTATTTCTTCTACTTCATCAGACTCCTCACTAAGTGAAATGTGTATGTAAGTAAATTTCAAACAGGAGGCACGGTGGTTCAGTGAGTAAGACAGTGGCTCGCTAACCTTGAGGTCGCAATGTTGCGTCTCTTTTCTCCAGGAGACACGGTGGTTCAGTGAGTAAGACGGTGGTTCGCTAACCTTAAGGTCCCAATGTTGCATCTCTGCATTGGCCGAAAACGTTCATCAGTAATTTCCTGCATGGTTCCCTCTTGTCAGTGGTGCAAGACGGAGGGCCTGTCAAAGGAAGCGTAAAGTCAATCGGATGGGAGGAAAAACCGAGAACCATTTCATTTCATTTCTTTGTTCTATACGGTAATGTGTGATCAAAACAATACATATCATTTAGGAACATAATGTTTTTTTTATTTAAATGTAGTTCAGAGTGATATGGGATTATATATAAATGTTTTCTTTTATTATTATTAAACATCTAGGCATGCAACTCAAGCTATAACTTGTCTGGAAGAGTTTTCATCTAAATGTTCAACCGTTTTTCCTAATATAAAATTATCAGAGTTGGAAGACAGTATTGTACCACTGAGAGTACTGTGTAAGTACTTATACTCATGTTGCTGCCGTCTAGAGGGTCATTGGTATGGACTTCGGTAAATGTTATATTGATATTATAAAGTGAAGGCGGATCCATTTTATGTATATTTGTATATCCATATGTGTTTAGTTTGAAATGAGGCTTTCATTTCTCGTCTGATCAGGGCTTGTAAATAATCCGATTGCACAGAACTGCGTTTCTGTATTTAATCCACGTACGTTTTACTAAAGTAACTTTGTGTATCCATTTTATACAAGAGTATGCGTACATATTTCAATACCCCTGATAATGACATGCCATACAAACACAAGTATACTATCCAGGACAAGTTGATGTAATATTACACTAGCTTGACGTTCAACTAGTAGCGATGTTAGTTATTAGGTTCTGTTGTTATAAGAATTTGAAATATGATGTATGTCTTGTAATTTAAACAATGATCCTAATTTAAAGTACACAATTTCTTTCTATTAATTTCATGACACCATTTCTATCCTCAAATAACCAGGAACAGATATTCTCACCGTACCTTTTCTATTTCAGGTAACCAGGATAGCAATGAAATAAGTAAGTCAATAATCTGAATATATTTAGCTGAGGAAGTTCCTACCGATTATTCCTTTGTTTTGTTCCCTTGTCAGTTGTATCTGGTGAAGAACCTAGTAAGGAACAGTATTTAATCTTTCAGACCAGTTGATAAACCAAGGTCTGGTGTACACTTTGGTATGCACTTAATAAAAAGGTCTGGTGTACACTTTGGTATGCACTTAATAAAAACCGTGAAGGTTGGATTTCGATGAAGAATATGTGGAAACATTTAGTTTACCTTCAAACTATATATTCTATATTGATAAACTGATAATTCAATTCAATCCATGAACCCAAGGCAACAGATGGTAGCTTCAGCCTAGACTGTTATTTTCATAGTTTATATTACTATCTAAAGAAACAAATATTCTCAACATGCTAGTACACTTGAGGCCACAATAAACTATATCTTTTTCAACATTGTCTATCTCTTTTTTTATAATTAATTGATATGGGTTGTCTTTCTGATTGTAAAACAAAGACTAGATGTTTGAATGTTTTACAATAATCAGCGTTATGCCTCAGTTTGTTACTAAATATTGTTAATACTTTGTATGCTGCAATTATTAACCTAAGCTGCTGTTTATATTTTAAATATTAAAAGATGGCTGCTTTAGCAAACCAACACATTAAATTGACAATTCTACTTGATAGGTCAGTCATTACCTAAAATTTCTGGTCCTTGGTCCAGTCTGTGACAAAAAAGGCTAGTATTCCAATATATGCCTCAGGTATTCTGATATTGACTGGTGACATTAATTTGTATACTAAAATTTTAAAATCGCTCGAAAGGATCGCCTGTGTGCCGATTCACGGCCACTATGATTCTTCTCGGCGAACCACTCGCCCGATCGATCGCCCCTATCTAGCATGGTAGATATTTTCGGCCAAATATTTTACGTCAGCGATCAATTCGTCGGCTGATCCACTCGTCTACCACTATTAGCCGTATGGTACATGCAGTGGTCGAATAACCTGTCAGACAAATTAATGGACAGATTCTGTTTGCGTAGCTTTATTGTTTATTGTATTTTTTCAGCCCTGTCACAATATCAAGAAAGAGGTATAAATGTTTTAGATCTTTTTTACATGACCAGTAAAATTTCTACTGAGTTCATGACTTTCAATGAATTGGTCTGCGTGCAATTTTAAACGAAAGGATATCTTTTTACTTGATCAATTATACCTTGAAGTAAGTTGTTCCCCAGATGAATTATCATTTCAAATGAAGATTGAGAGATCGTTTGTACTCGTGATAGATCTCCATGCACACGGCTTCACATTGGAATTACCTAGTGGTCGAGAGTGTACACGGCTTCACGTTGAGATTACCTTGTTTGAGCACCTTTTGAACCTCGTGGGTTTACTTCTCCCACAGGAAAGAACCCTGCATCCGTGCCAAGTATAACAAAATAAGTTAACCTGTCTGCGATATCACCCTCGTTGGAAAAGGACGTAAAACACCAACAGAAGAAGACATTCATTCAAATGTTCATAAGGGAACCGCTGGGACGACTATTCTCTTCTATATAGATTTCAAATTCCATTTAAAAGAGACTGTCAACCATTTTAGGTAACAGTTATTTTATTGTACTAATATTTTTAAGAATACATTTCTGTTTTCATTTTCAGATTTAACCCAATCTAACACTTTAGGTGCGAGGGCTACTGAAAAAGGTGAGCACGTTTTCATACAAAACAGAGACACCAAAACATTTCATGTTTTTTTATCTGAAATTTTAATTTTGAATTTAAATCTGATTTTATTCAAATAAGAAATAAATCTATTTCAGAATGCCAGGAAATGGGTGAATCATGTTTAGCTATAGTCGAATCCCTTGGTATTGCACGAGGTCAAAGAGAAGTAATGTGCAAGTAATTATATTTCTATCATTAGAAATAAAATCAAATCAAATCAAATGAGGTTTAACCTCGACCGGACTAATGAAGATGGGTATACAACCATAAATGTGCTGTGAGAGTTAGTGTCTCTAGACAGCGGTGCTACATACGTCTCTTGTTTCATATTCAAAAAGTCGAGAGTTCTTTTTCATGTACAATGTGCTGTGAGAGTTGGTGTCTCTAGACGTCTACCTACGTCTCTTATGCCACTGTAACTTCTCTATCATTAGATACATTATGATATTTCTATTATTAAATACTATGGTGTTTTTATTAGACAAGTTTATTTGATGATACTCAAAGTTGCCGACCATATTTCTAAAATACCGACTGTAGATCATTCAAGTAACTCGTATAGAATGTCCAACCAGACAATCAATGACGCATCATCGGAAAATGAATCTAGTTCTTTTAGCGTTCGAAAAGCGCCGTACGAAATGTCTGGACCTGGAAACTTTCTTGACCTTGTTTGATTGGCAGCACACCCGGTAAGTCGTATCGTGAACTATATGGTGATACTGTTTAAGTTATATACAACTTTGTAAGGCTATTCTGAGAACATAATAATGATGATGTATACATTAAACATTATTGATTATGTTCTGATATTTAACTGCCCTATATTTTGTATTGACTTGCCCAATGGCCCAAGTATTGTCGTAATGTTCATTGTTCAGAGTTCGCTAGTGAACGAATTTCTGGACTTTAAATAGCGTTTGCGGTCATCCAATTTTCAAAATCTTCCCGTGGAGGACCCCCGGATCCACCTCCATCCGGGTGGATAGAACACCCCGCACCTCACCATAAAGAGTTTACTGCAGGTTTCTTGTATTTATTTAATCAAACCTTGCCCTGGATACATTTGATGAGATATTAGCAGTACTATATAAATCAACGATAAAGGGGTAATTTTGTAATGTTCAATGAATAATGGAGATCAAAAATATCTTCATGACAACTTTACTTGAGATCTACAATTGAAGTTGATAGTGTTACATAGTCAAATTTTGTTTGTGTGAATTTTTTATATCTTATTACGCTTCATAATGCTCCCTTCATAATTAGGTTGGGCAAATATATTAACATATAATGAATAACTGATGTTTCAGCGGAATAAGGAGTATGCTAAGTTGTTTCCAAAACGTTTTGACTGAATGTGCAGATCAACTACAAAATTACAATGTTGATACCATGATGGCTGCATACCAACAACAACTTGGTATTTACTGTAAGTAGTTATTAATATGGGTTTGATGATAACGTTCTTTAGAAATGCAACAAAGATGTATGATTGTTTGTATATCTAGAGACATTTAGATTGTTCTGTCCTTTGGTGAAAATCTACTGAATATACCATATTATAAAACATTTATCATACAGTAAAAATAACATACCCTGAAGATCTCAGTAATATCGAGCTAAACCCTATAGAAATAACATACCCTTAAGGAGTTTTAAAGATCCCCACAACATCCTACAGAAATAATGTAGATCGTAAGTTATACCAAAGCAATATCTAAATTATGGTTGTCAATATTAAAATAAAAACACTGATAAGCATTGAGATTTAAACAAAGAAAATATATTCTTATCATATCTCTTCTATTTCAGGTAACGGCAATGAAAATGAAATTGGTAAGTCAAGAATTTGAATATATTTAGTCTTATATAATTATATTAACAGTATATTGATTGACATTTATAGTGAAATATAGGATCGGCCCACCTGTCAGGTCATTGACCAAGGCCCACACAAGTACGCGCCGTAGTCGCGTCACGAGCGCGGCGAAGGCGCGCAGGCGCCCGAGAGGGGTCTGAGGGGGGGGGGGGCTCTCCCCAGGAAAATATTGAACATTGACAACCGCAAACCCATTTTTTTTTTGTGTAGTTTGTCAGTCATTTTTTTCCTATCTTTTCTTTCTCCTGTCCTGTGTCCTGTTCTCTCCTTCCTTTTCTTTCCTCTCCTTTTTTTCTCTTTTCTTTTTTTCTTTTTTCTTTCTCTTTTTTCTTTTTTCTTTATAGGCTTAGGCCCACTTTTTTTTAATGAGCTTAGGCTCACCTGTCACGGACAGGTGGACAGGTGGGCCCAGTCCGGCACTGGGATTGGTCCGATAAAAAACCGTTTGACTTATAGTTCACAAAAGCGTAGTTGGCGATCAACAGTGTTAGTACTGATGAATTCATGTGTTGCCGGATAATGAACCTGCATTGACATGTATTGCCGTCCTGGCATTGGTTGATCTTTAGTGAAATGTGTCTGCTGGAAATGGATTCACCAGTGTTATGACACGCCCTCATCAGTTTATGCAATGGCGTGTTCTCGGTCTTTAGGTGTCAACGTTTGCATATCTTTTGTCTTCCATTGAACTGTAGGAGTTGCATTGATCCTTTTTCTATAATTATTTCCACCTGGACTGAACTTCAAAGAAAGACGGACATTAATAATTTCAAATTAATATATAAATTCACTGTAAATATTGTTTCCGATAACATAACCATTTTTTAACATATACCGATATTCATCTGCATTGAAACGATCCAGGATGCCCCTTATTTGCACAAGGTGTTGCACCTTCTGCCCACAGACGATGCAAGCCATATTTAATACATCATCCCATCAAAACCTGTTTAAACAATTATAATAACCCAGTGAATGAAATGAAATAAAATGGGGTGGTTTAACATTCTGTTTTCCTGTACTGATCTGGCTTATGAATACGTGCATACGACGGTTCAGACAGTAGTGTATAGTTTCATTACCAGGTACTTCAAAACCTGACTGATTTTATCGTGAACATTTTATGCTTAGACTAAGCATAGATAACTATTAATTAATAGTCATCTATTTATTTTGGGATTTCGTCACAGGACATCAGCCCCACCGTTTGCTTGTTAAATTATCAATATTATTTGTAGGTGGATCAGGACCTATGTCAGGTGGACCAGGACCTAGGCCAGGTAGACCAGGACCTATGGCAGATGGACCAGGACCTCAGCAAGGTAGATTAATGTTACTACATTTGTTTATCTAATCTAGATATTAGTACTTACTTTTTATTACAAAATGGAGCTGACATTGTATGATTTTAAGTTCTCATCACTGATAAGAAGGAAACAAGTCGGAAAAGCCCAATGGACTTTCTCGGCCAACGTAGGGATAGAACATGTGACCTCCAGGTTAGGGAGTCAATGCCTTACTCACCGTGCCTCCCTATTTCTAAAATAAAGACAGAGGTTGTTTTATAATCCAATTAGCAAAGTTGATATTAGTAACCAATCATCTTGATTCCTGTGGTGGTGCTGAACAACTTCCAAACAATTTTAATCTAGCCTAGTTGGTGGCGTGGCATTTTGAGTGTGTCTGTCAGGGGTACCCCACCCCACAAACTGTCTGGCAGTGGTTATTCTTGATTCATGTGGTGGAACTGAACACCTTCCAAGCAGATTTCAGCTAATCTAGCCCAGCTGTGTGTTGTCTGCCAATTAAATAAGTTTGTCAGGGGTATTATTATATAGACATATCATCAATTATCACTGGAAACTATTTTGATGAAAAATTCCTCATGTCGACTATTGCAATATGCATTGAAGTATATTTCAAAAGTGTTTTACCTGCAACCGGTCTAACTATTACTTTTATTTAGTTCTTTTCCAGTGTGAAAATAAATTTAATGAATGCGGACAATATGGTGCTCAGTTAGAAGCCGCAGGTGCGCTGGATCCAGACACACGTTGTGGGTAAGTATACCTATTGAGTTTATGATTACGTACTATCTTATAATACTAATACTCTAGTATTTAGTAACTCGATGGAGTAATAAACTATAATACATACTTATAAAAAACAGCTTTTCGAAAATCGCCCTACTGATGTAGTACCTGTTTCTATAAGTATGTGTTATAGTTTATAACAATTGTACCATTGTTTCATTCTGCTTTATTGTTCATCACTACATTAAGTGAAAATGATGTAAACATTCAGTAACTTGTAAATAGAACTAGAATGTATGAAGACTATTTATAACCATTCTCTTCTTTATACATATTAATACCATGGAGCTAACTACTTGGAGGGGTCATAAAAATACATGCCTTTATTAAAATTTAGTTTTTATACCTTTAATGTTCTCCACCTGTAAATTCCACCGGTTTGTGCAGATGGGAAGGTCAAGGGTCATACAGGTATATAGAATATAAAATACTTATATTTTACAGTGTTATGAGACAACAAGTTGAATGTAATGATCAATTTCTAGCAGATTGTGGTTCAATCATGCCTGAAATGATTAAACAGCGTTTAGAAGTCGCGGGTCAAGAATACAATCAAACATGTAAGTAAAAAAGTGTAGTCGTATTATTCAAGGTTCTATGTTTCAGTTTTATCATACTATAAAGCTCTCAATAACATGAAGATTGTAAGATTGACCTGGGGAGGGGTATGATGACTTGGTACCACTTTCAGGATCATTTGGTACCAACCACTTTTCATTATTAGAAGTGTTTCATATGACAAGAGCTCTTCTTCTTTTGTGTTTTTATCCCAGTGGGACAACTAGCCCTTACACATTTTCATTTATTATCATCACTGGACCGCGTCAAAAAAATTGCTTTGCTTAATTTTGCTAAATGCTTTCGGAACATATTCTTGCTCCAATAATGAGCATTTTGTGTCCACATTAAGCTCTAATAAGCAAAATTATCGATATTTTATAATGATCAATATTCAGTTAAATATGAGTGTCATCTAATTACTGGGGACATCAGCATCACTGTTGGCTTGTTTATATCTGTTGCATATACAAAGTCTGAAAGATATATACACACTTGATATCTATATAGGAAGTTATAATTTAGCAGTTATAATGTTTTATTGTCTAATCTAACTAGAAACCCCTCTGCCACAATACATTTGTAATAGAGAAGGACATTATAACTTAAAGTACAAAATTTAAGAAATTGGTACAAAATTTTAAAAGGATTAAGGATTGCTTATTCATCACAGTATTTTATTTTCCTTTTTACGCTTTTAGGTGTTGGAGATGACCATACAGGTAATGCATAAAATTTATAAATTTCAGATCTTCTTATGTTTTTCGAATGATAATCTGTGACGAGCTGTCTAATCCTGTTTAATAAACCACATATAATTATTTGTAAAATGAATGATCAAAATTTACCTAAATGCCTGTCTTAAAATACAGAAACTAGGTAGTTAAACCTTGTTTCATTTCATTTTAATTACGATATGTCATTTGATAGTTTATCTGGAACAGAAAGCAAATCATCCAAACAGCAAAAACAAATCTGTTACCAGTTGTTCCAAATATGATAGGATTAGAATACATGTCACTATTGCCATTGTGCATTTATCGTAACCATTCATCGATTATGGCCCCTGATTGTACGACAAATTACGTTTTTAGCTTGTGGACAGCCTAGCGGTCACAAGTTTTATCCAATTTTCATGAAAATTAAAACGTGTGTTTAACTTCCTGATTTATGGCCCCTGATTGTACGAAAAACTCGCGATTTTAGCTTGTTGACCCGTCAAAATTACCGCTCCTTGAAGGCAAATTGTGTCAAAGTATGTAATACCAAGGTTGTGGACCCGCTAGAGGTCACTATTTTTATCCGATATTGATGAAACTTAATATATTTCTTTATATTCCAAAATAAATACAGTTTTATGTTTAATTTTGTTAAAATAGAAATGTTTTATGTGTGGCTTGGTTTCGTTCCCTTGTGTGAGCGCCTTTTCAACCCTGCGTGCGTGCCAAGTATAATAGAATAAGTTAACCTGTCTGCGATATCACCCTCGTTGGAAGAGGACGTTAAACACCAATAGAAGAAGACATTCTATGAAATGTTCATAAGGAAACTGCTGGGACGGTTATTCTCCTCTATATAGATTTCAAATTCCATTTAAAAGATACTGTCAACCATTTTAGGTAACAATTATTTAATAGTACTAATATTTTTAAGAACATGTTTCTGTTTTCATTTTCAGATTTAACCCAATCTAACACTTTAGGTACGAGGGCTACTGAAAAAAGTGAGTACTTTTTCATACAAAACAGAGACACCAACAAACATTTCATGTTTTTATCTGAAATTTTAATTTTGAATTTAAATCTGATTTTATTCAAATAACAAATAAATCTATTTCAGAATGCCAGGAAATGGGTGAATCATGTTTATCTATAGTCGAATGCCTTGGTATTGCACGTGGTCAAAGAAGAGTAATATGCAAGTAATTATATTTCTATCATTAGAATTGAAATAAAATAAAATCAAATCAAATGGGTTTTAAACTCACCCGGACTAATGAAGGGTATACAACCATACATGTACAAAGCGCTGTGACAGTTAGTGTCTCTAGACAGCGGTGCTACATACGTCTCTTGTTTCATATTCAAAAAGTCGAGTGTTCTTTTACATGGACCTCATTTTTTGGACCATCTGTATGAAAGGGGAAAACATGCTGGATACTCCTAGATAACTTTCTCTGCCAACACAGAGGTCGAATCCAGCCTCTACTGGTTAGTTAGGTAGCGTCTGAATCACTGAGTCACTGTAACGTCTCTATCAGTAGATATAGGTTATAATATTTCTATCATTAAATACTATGTTTTTATTAGACATGTTTATTTAATAATACTCAAAGTTGCCGACCATATTTCTAAAATACCTACTGTAGACCATTCAACTAACTCGTATAGATTGTCCAACCAGACAATCAAAGACGCATCATTGGAAATGGAATCTAGTTCTTTTGGCGTTCGAGAAGCGTCGTACGAAATGTCTGGACCTGGAAACGTTCTTTACCTTTTTTGATGGGCAGCACACTCGGTTAAGCCTATGGTAAACTATATGGTGATACTGTTAGGGTTATAATGCTCCCTTCATAACTAGGTTGGGCAAATATATTAACATATAATGAATAACTGATGTTTCAGCGGAATAAGGAGTATGCTAAGTTGTCTCCAAAACGTTTTGACTGAATGTGCAGATCAACTACAAAATTACAATGTTGATACGATGATGTCTACATACCAACAACAACTTGGTATTTACTGTAAGTAGTTATTAATATGGGTTTGATTTCTTGTCTACAACCACGAGGCTGGTGAAAACGTATGTGACAGTATTAGTTCTTTAATCAAGTTCTGGATGACAAGACTAGTTTAACATCTTAAAATACTTTTATTCTCTGCTCCTTCTAACATATTATGTACAAAACTTAAGACTCCGTAATTAACTTGTGTTGATAGAGCCATGCCCTAGCTCGGCTAGGCACGAGTGTGCTAACTCCCAACTCTTACATTACATGGCCGTTGTCCGACGTAACTCCAGACCTGCGTGGCCTGTCCTGCCCGGACCTGTCTGTCTATTTGTTTCTTAATCTGGATTTATAAACCCTTCCAAACAAAGGATCTTATTAGGCATCTGGCTAATTTTATCATATCAAGTTTAACATTCGATACATGCTTAAATAAGTTTAAATAAAACATGCCAGTAAGTTAACGTTTACATAATCATTACATAATCACATAGACCAAGAACTCCAGGCATGTCGATAACGAACAGGTGTCAAGTTGGCAGGAAGCGTCTTTAACATCAGATAATCTGATTATGTAACACGTAGCAAGGATGTAACTGTGATGTATGATTGTTTGTATATCTAAAGACATTTAGATTATTCTGTCCTGTGGTGAAAATCTACTGAATATACCATATTATAAAACATTTATCGTACAGTAAAAATAACATACCCTGAAGATCTCAGTAACATCGAGCTAAACCCTATAGAAATAACATACCCTTAACGAGTTTTAAAGATCCCCGTAACATCCAACTAAACCCTACAAAAATAATGTAGATCATAAGTTATACCAAAGCAATATCTAAATTATGGTAGTAAATATTAAAATAAAAACACTGATAAGCATAGAGGTTTAAACCAGGAAAAATATATTCTTATCATAGCTCTTCTATTTCAGGTAACGGCAATGAAAATGAAATTGGTAAGTCAAGAATTTTAATATATTAAGTCTTATATAATTATATTAACAGTATATTGCTTGACATTTATAGTGAAATATAGGACCGGCCCACACAAGTACGCGCCTTAGTCGCGTCACGAGTGCGGCGAAGGCGCGAGGGCGTCCGAGAGGGGTCGGGGGGGGGGGGTCTCTCCCCAGGAAAATTTTGAAAATTGACAACCCCAAACCCATTTTCCTAGCATTTCAGACCAAAGCACTCTTGTAGTACATTTCTTTTTTTGTGTAGTTTGTAAATCATTTTTTTCCTATCTTTTCGTTCTCCTGTCCTGTGTCCTGTCCTCTCCTTCCTTTCTTTCTCATTTCTTTTTTCTTTTTTCTTTCTCTTTTTTCTTTTTTCTTTCTCTTTTTTCTTGTTTCTTTATAGGCTTAGGCCCACTTTTTTTTAATGAGCTTAAGCCCACCTGTCACGGACAGGTGGACAGGTGGGCCCAGTCCGGCATTGGTCAGATGTAAGGTCGTTTGGCTTATAGTTCACAAAAGCGTAGTTGGCGATCAACAGTGTCAGTACTGATGAATTCATGTGTTGCCGGATAATGAACCTGCATTGACATGTATTGCCGTCCTGGCATTGGTTGATCTTTAGTGAAATGTGTCTGCTGGAAATGGATTCACCAGTGTTATGACACGCCCTCATCAGTTTATGCAATGGCGTGTTCTCGGTCTTTAGGTGTCAACGTTTGCATATCTTTTGTCTTCCATTGAACTGTAGGAGTTGCATTGATCCTTTTTCTATAATTATTTCCACCTGGACTGAACTTCAAAGAAAGACGGACATTAATAATTTTCAAATTAATATATAAATTCACTGTAAATATTGTTTCAGATAACATGACCATTTTTTAACATATACCGTTATTCATCTGCATTGAAACGATCTGGGATGCCTCTTATTTGCTCAAGCTGTTGCACCTTCTGCTCATAGAGTATGCAAGCCATATTTGGTACATCATCCCATCAAAACCTGTTTAAACAATTTTAATAACCCAGTGAATGAAATGAAATAAAATGGGGTGGTTTAATATTCTATTTTCCTGTACTGATCTGGCTTATGAATACGTGCATACGACGGTTCAGACAGTAGTGTATAGTTTCACTACCAGGTACTTCAAAACCTGACTGAATTTTATCGTGAACATTTTATGCTTAGACTAAGCATAGATAACTATTAATTAATAGTCATCTATTTATTTTGGGATTTCGTCACAGGACATCAGCCCCACCGTTTGCTTGTTAAATTATCAATATTATTTGTAGGTGGACCAGGACCTATGTCAGGTGGACCAGGACCTAGGCCAGGTAGACCAGGACCTAGGCCAGGTAGACCAGGACCTATGACAGGTGGACCAGGACCTCAGCAAGGTAGTTTAATGTTACTACATTTGTTTATCTAATCTAGATATTAGTACTTACTTTTTATTACAAAAAGGAGCTGACATTGTATGATTTTAAGTTCTCATCACTGACAAGAAGGAACCAAGTCGGAAAAGCCCAATGGACTTTCTCGGCCAACGTAGGGATAGAACATGTGACCTCCAGGTTAGGCAGTCAATGCCTTACTCATTGAGTCACCGTGCCTCCCTATTTCTAAAATAATGATAGAGATTGTTTTATAATCCAATTATCAAAGTTGATATTATTAACCAATCATCTTGATTCCTGTGGTGGTGCTGAACAACTTCCAAGCAATTTTAATCTAGCCTAGTTGGTGGCGTGGCATTTTGAGTGTGTCTGTCAGGGGTACCCCACCCCACAAACTGTCTGACAGTGGTTATTCTTGATTCATGTGGTGGAACTGAACACCTTCCAAGCAGATTTCAGCTAATCCAGCCCAGCTGTGTGTGGTCTGCCAATTAAATAAGTTTTTCAGGGGTCTCCCACCACGAGAAATGTTTGTCAGTGTGTTTTTGTAATAACTGAATATAAGTAAGGTACATTTTCACGTACACTTTTGACTTTTGAGCTAATCTAGCCCAAGAATACATGTCTAGAATCATGGTCCTCACAGCCACACCCACCGCCAGACCGGTAGACGTACATTCTGGTGATTCCAGATGTACATGTATTGATACCATACATTATCACTTGAAACGAGAAACTATTTTTATGTAGACTTTTAACTGGCAAACATGTATATTACAATATGTATTGAAGTATATTTCCAAAGCTTTTTACCTGCAACCCATCTCACCGTCTGATTAATAATTTCCTCCCTTCACTAATTCTTTTATTCAGTTCTTTCCCACTGTGAAAATAAATTTAATGAATGCGGACAACATGGTGCTCAGTTAGAAGCGGCAGGTGCGCTGGACCCAGTTGCACGTTGTGTGTAAGTATAACTATTGTATTTCTAATATTACCAGATGCGCAGGGCCCAGTTGCACGTTGTGTGTAAGTATAACTATTGTGTTTCTAATAATACCAATAATCTTTAGAGACATTTAGTAACTCGATGAAGTAATACACTATAATATATACTTATAGAAATCAGCTTCTCGAAACGTCGCCCTAATGATTTAGTACCTGTTTCTATAAGTATGTTTTATAGTTTATAACAGTTACACCATTGCTTTATTCTGCTTTATTGTTCAGTTCTGTAAACATCACTAAACTAAGAGACAGTGGTGTAAACAGTCAGTAACTTGTCAATAAAACTAGAATGTATGAAAACTAGTTATAACCACTCTCTTCTTTAAACATGTTAACTACTTGGAGGGGTCATAAAATACATGTCATTATCAAAATTGAGTTTTTATACCTTTGATGTTCTCCACCTGTAAATTCCACCGGTTTCTGCAGGTGGGCAGGTCAAGGGTCATACAGGTGTATAGAATATACAATACTTATATTTTACAGTGTTATGAGACAACATGTTGAGTGTAATGATCAATTACTAGCAGATTGTGGTTCAATCATGCCTGAAAGGATTAAACAGCGTTTAGCAGCCACCGGTCAACAATACAATCAAATATGTAAGTTAAAAGTGGTAGTCGTATTATGGTGTTTGTTTCAGTTTTATCATACCATTAACAGGAAGATTGTGATGGACGTTGTTACCTGGGGGGGGGGGGCTATGATTACTTGGTACCATTTTCCATTATTAGAATTGTTTCATCTGGCATGCACTTTCCATTCCCAGTGGGACAACTGGCTTTTACAGATTTTCATTTATTACTTCTAGTGGTCACAACTTTTATCTGATTTTGAAAATCATTTAAATATATCATCGCTACATTCTGATGATGATTGAGTTCGAATTTCGTAAAAAATCGGACCCAAAGGTCCACGTCAAAATGACCGCTCTTTGAACGTAAATTGTGTAAAAGTATGGTAATAACAAGGTTGTAGAGGTCACTATTTTTTTTCCTATATTGATGAAACTTAAATTATATGTTTATATCTCAAGTGGGTATTTGAACATATCAGACCATAACTTCCTGGATTACACTATAAACCTTAGAATGCCTCGTTCGGCATTTCTGTCCAAACGAGGCAAAAACGTGTCAAGTTTTTGTCCCGATTTTGCCACGTTGTAACGTTGTAACGATTAATAAGCAAAGTACAAATCGGACACCATTCTCTGAATTAAAATAACTTTTGGTTGTATGCATCGAAGGGCAACCAGTTGGCGCCGAAATGTAAATCAACAATCATCACAGTATTCTGTCTTGTGGATTCAGCTAAATAAGGTTATAAGTTCCATAAATTTATAATCACCGAATGAAGGTTGTGATTTAAACTTGACGATATAATATTACTTAGGGTGTTATTTGAACATTTAAATAGTTCATAAATTATAACTGATATTTCTAATCATTATTAAATAGAATATTCGTTCACTAGTATCAAGAATATACAGTCAAAATGGGTAATAAATAATGTCATGTCATGGTTGGTTGATTAACATCCTTGATAACGTTGACCTATATAGGTGTTAAGTAAGAACTGTCGTGTTGTGATACCTGATTGGGGCCATTAATTAATTAAGAAAACTGTGTGTGTGAAATAGTTTTACTTGACGTACGCGTCCACCTAACTGATATCGCAGACAAGAAATTAGCGTTTATCTAATCTAACATATGCAAAAGAAGGACCGCCGTGTTATTTCATATTGAAACCAAACAGCATGTAATCAAAGAACGCTTTTATCCGCCATATTTAATATTGTCACGTGACATTGTTATGTTTTTTTCGCTTTGATAGCGTTTATTATACACGACAGAACTCCAGTATAGTAAACCATAGCTATGGACAATATCATGTCCCAAATAAATAATCTAATTTGTAGATCGGCAATTTGCCACGTGATGATCCGAACATTATTTGTATGGCTCAATTTGTTGATAGCAAATACCGCTAATAATTATCTTGGACAAAAAACCACGCTTAGTAAACGAGGTAATTTTACCCAGCCTCGTTCTGAACGAAATACCTCGTTCCAAAACAGGGCAATTTAAAAAACCTCGTTTTGGAACTCCAGACAAAACGAGGCAATTTTTTTACCTCGTTACAACGAGGCAAAAACGAGGCAAAAATTTTAACACATTTTTGCCTCGTTTGGACAGAAATGCCGAACGAGGCATTCTGAGGTTTATAGTGTTATGGCCCCTGATTGTACGAAAAATCACATTGGATCCTCTAGAAAACACATTTTTTTTTATCAATTTTAAAAACCGTTTTAATATATAACCGTTTCTTCATAATGAAGGTTGAGTTCGAATTTCGGGAAAATCGAAACGAATGGCCACTCCTTTAACGAAATTGTGTACAAATATGTAGTACGAATGTTGTGGACTATTTTTGTTCGATTTTGATGAAACTTATGAGATGTGTGAAAGATTTCACCCCCTTTCGATTTTCGTGCATTTCAGATCATAGCTTCTTGGATTATGGCCCCTGATTGTACGAAAAATCGCTTTTATTTTTAGCTTGTTCTCTATCCATCTCTTGCAAAATGTGGACGTATCTTGCCTGACAACCACTGTTTGGCAAAATAAATAGAGTTTTCTGTTTAATTTTGTTAATATAGAAATGTTTTATATCTAACTTCAAACTATAAGGAATGTTTTTTTTTCAGGTCCAGGCAGTAATAAAGGTAAATATTTTTTCAATTAACATTTGATCAGTCAGAACTAGGCTTGTCTGACGATGTAAATAGTGTTAAAACTTTGCTAAATGCATGTAATGTAACTCAGTAATGATAAACAAATCTGAGAGTACTATGGTCAGGAACCAAGCATGACATCTTGGAATTGTGACGTCATATAAAAAATTGAAGTTTGTCAACCGGTTCGCAATTGTCCAAGGAACAAGCATGTTAAGTTTCCAAAAACAAGAAGATGATTAGAGGTTTGGTACCTGTACCTGGTGGTTCAACCAGTCTCTAAACTAAACAATATACCATTACTCTAATGCAAAAATATATTTTGATTAAATAATTTTATTTTTCTTAATTGAATTGTTTGTTTTTTATAATTAAATAGTTCTGTTTTCCTTAAATAATATTTTTTTTAATTAAATAGTTTTGCTTTCCTTAATTAAATTGTTTTTTTCTAATTAAATAGTTATGTTTTTGTTAATTAAATTGTTTAGTTTTTTTTTAATTAAATAGTTTTGTATTTCATTTTGTTTCTTATATAGCTGTAGTGCCAAAGAAAAAAACAGGTATGTAAATAAAAAATGTGATCATTTATGTGAACAAGAGTCTTCTATTGCTATTACCATTGTCCTTTTTTTTAGAATTCTTGATACCTTTAAATGGAGCACGCGTGCTGAAGATTCTGTGAATTTCTCTGACATCAATTCAGATGGCCATTTATTACCCTCGCTTTAAATTTCATCTGACTTTTCTTTGATTATCTGATGTGAAAATAGTAATTTACACAAATAATTATCTGAATTTATCTTTTTAGGACGACTTTCTCCGGCAAAGTGTGAAGCAATGATTTCTAATTGTAAGAGAAAATTACTAGGATATGAAGCTGGTAATAAGGAAAAGTGTCTGTAAGTAAAACTAAATTAACGAATCACCATGAATTTTAGTTTCATATATATTGGGACATCAGTTTTCGTGTGGTGCACCACAGTGGCTCAGTGCTTGAAGACGCTGGCTTGCTAACCTGGAGGTCCCTGGTCTGGTCCCTGAGCTGTCCGAGAAAGTTCATTGTGCAGGACAGAAAGTCTGGCAAGGGACAAGGCACATAGGCGTGCACGTAAAATATCCTTTGACAGTTGGAATTCGATATAAGATTAGGCCGTAGTGCTGCTGTCCGGGCCCAGTTGTCCTCATAGTACACTGTATGGCAAATGCCCGCCTTCATTAGCCCAGTCGGAGCAAAACAGTAGGACATTAAGCCCCATTTCATTTCATTTCAGGTTTCGGGTCTAATGCACTACAAATTTCGAAATATTCAGCTTCATTATACTAATTATATTTTAGCACAACATTTACAAGTGCACTGACATCTCCATGGATCATACTTAAACCAACCTTCATGTCATTCTGTGATGGTGCCAGATATCTTTATAACCTAGCTTCACATGTCATTCTGTGATGGAGCGATGGAAGATGGTGTATTAAAAGAATAATAATTCCAAGTTCTTCTTCTGCATATAAGTGTTCCATAATGTGAATATAGGTCAACTGCGTCTGATAACATTGCATTAGAATGATAATGTAGCGAAATCTCAACCTATATCATTCTACAATCCTAGACAACAATCACCTGTTGATTAATTAATATCTAACGTCATAGAGTCAAAAGCCTCTCGTTTGACTCCTGACGTGAACTCTCACTATAAGTTGTCAGATCTTCGTGTAGTGTAGGCCATCAAAAAGTATAAAAATCGAAACGAAATATAGATCTGTATTTTAATTATATTGAATCTGTGAAGGTGTTGTATGTCCTTTATTTTAAAAATAGTTATAATTCTCGACTTAATGATAGATTAATGTTTAATTTAGGCAAGGTTACAAGACAATGAGATGTTACAGAAGAGCTGCTAAAGTTTGTAAATTGACAAGACCTATTAGAAAGGAAATTAAAGCTTTCAAAATATCTCATATAAATACTTGTAAGTTATTAGTTTCGATGATATAACTTTAAAATGTCATTATATTTTTATATTATTCCTAAATGGTATAATATTGTTTTTATCATTTTGAGAAATATGATTATTCCATCATCAAGTAATGATTGGTTTCAGACAGTTCACTGTGGAACTGAGTGAAATAGTCAGTGTGATATCTTATAGTCCATTCTATATTTAATAACCATGACTGCACTATAGTGATTATAGGGAATTGTGATGCGTGTATTAGCTATATGTTTTCATCTGTATTCTGTGGTATTACAAGGGGGGGGGGGGGCTGAATGGCTGAATGGTTGGCACGTGCCATAAAGTCTGTCATTTAGTCAACTGGTGTGATTTCGATTCCACGGTTGTACGTGACAAGGCGTAGGATCGCCTGTCCAATCTCGTGGGGGTTTTCCGGGTCCTCCGATTTCCTCCCACTAAAGACTCCTACGCGCAAGCGAATTGTTGAAATAAAATTGAACCATATGTTAGTCCCCAAATGACCTAGTCTGTGTCAAGTGGACGTTAAACCCCATTTCTCTCTCTCTCTCCCCCTCTCTAGCATATCACATTATTTACTTCCGTTTTACATTGTTTGACAATTCCTGGTGCTAAATATATGATTTTTGGTAACAAATTATACCCCTATTCAGCTTTTGGTGACAATGGTATTTTTGTGAATTGTATAATAAGTATATATTTTATATTTTATAGGTGGCAAGAAGAAGCCAAGGGCTGTAGATGATGTTTATGATCTTGATGGTCTTGATGATAGTTTTGATATTTATATTGCCTGGTTGGACGGTGATGATATTGATGCTGATTAGGCCATTACGTTTTAAATAGATAGTATTTAATCACAGTGCCTTTAAACTTAATGTTAAAATCTAAATATGTTTTTGTATCATTCACCAAGGTTGAGTAATAAAATTCCTGTAACCTGAAGCAAGGATTTAATTTTTAAAAACTTCTTTTTGAGTTTGTTTTTATCTTTTTGATCTCATGGGCCACCTCATACGTTTTCCCACTCAGTAATGTAATGTGATAATGCATATATATATGAGAGAGAGAGAGAGAGAGAGAGAGAGAGAGAGAGAGATTGGAAAACTTATATATAAATAACCCTGTCTAATAGAGCTATTCTCATACAGTCGTCTAATACACACGCTAGCGCTATATAAATGTACATATTATTATTATTAAATTGTAGTTGTGTCAAATATTGTTGCATTTACCGGACTCAAGATATCCAAAAGCAATTTATGATACGCTCTATAAGCTAGATCAAGCTGGTATGTCAACTTGGGCTACACATGTTAACAATTTCTGCATGAATACGGATTTGGATATATATGGAATCATTGGCCGAGAAAGTTCATCTTGATTTTCCGACGTGGTTTCCCCTTGTCAGTGGTCCAGAACTGAGGGCATGACAAGGACAGCTGTCTAATCCTTCGGATGAGACGAAAAACCTAGGTCCCGTGTAGACATTGGAATGCATGTAAAAGATCCCTTTGCAGTTTGAATTCGATATAAGAGTAGGCGATAGTGGCGCTGCCCGGGCAAAATTTCCCCCATAGCACACTGTATGGCGTATGCCCGTCTTCATTAGCCCAGTATAGGAGCAGAACAGTTGGACGTTAAACCCCATTTTATTTCATTCCTTTGTATATATGGAATCAATAGGGTGTGTTCGATGTCAGTGGATTTTCATCATCATTTAAACAGGGATTGTTTGATTGCGCAAGTGAAGTTCGAGATAATCCAAACTTGCGAATTACAGATTATTCAAATACAAATGACTATATGAAAGTTATTTATCTGAATTGATAATTTATAAATATAGGAGATCTTTAACGAGATTTAGGCGCTCAAACCATGACTTGGCCATTGTTGGGCAATATCGTCAGAGAAATCAGAATATGTAAATACTGCCAGGTCCATCTCAATATATCTGTAAGTTTTGACGGTTTTTGTGATTTCCTCGGTGTTAGTTTGTGGATACAATCCCTAACAACTTGACAGCCCGTGAGTTCGGTGAATTCAGTGAATTCGGTGAATTAAACGAATTCAGTGAATTAAACGAATTCAGTGAATTTATTAATGTGTGGGTATATACGACAATCTGAACTCATTCGGGGAACTTTTTTCATTGGTTTTACTAATGTACATCGGTTGACTGTTTGTTTTTCAGTTTGTTTGATGATCACGTATGGAATTGAGACCACTAGTTATTTTAATACATTTTGAACTTTTACTTGTGTTTTACTACAAATTAACAGTGCAATCGGCACAACCATTTACAATATTTTACGTAGGAAATGTCGCCTAATTTCAACACTTGAATCCAAACGAATCATCGGCGGACAAATTTCGTCGCACCCACTTATTTCTGCAGTGTCGTTCCACCCATTCACCCACTGCCTATTTTATTGTAAATAAGGGATATTTGTTTAAACGTCTAACCAAACTCATCCCTATTATCTCATTATCACTGTTGAACTTTAATCATGTCATATGCTAAAACAACTTTCCAACTTGCTTCTCTCTTGTTAGTGGTGTAGGACCGAATGTAAGGCAAGGGACAGCGTCTAGTACAACAGATCTGAAGAACAAAATGCGGTACCGTTTACACCTTTCTTGGCATACACGTACAAGAACCATTGACAGGTGACATTCAATTGCTGTCTCCACAAAATTTCCCTCATAGTACACTATAAATTCCACAGTGTAATTATTCATCACCCAATATATCAATACATCAATTGATTAGAAGATGGAGTAAAACAAAGCCTTTTCACCCACCCTTTTATCATCTGTTGAATAATTGATGACCCCTATGAAGTCAAGTGTCAACATTCTGGTGGAGATACGACTAGCGATAAACCTTGTGGCTTGAGGTGGGAACTCATTCCACTATGTCCAGGACTCGATGCCGGTTTAGGGCTGCGAAAGTACCTCAGGCCGACGGATTGGACGACAAACTGTGTCCGATTGGAATTCGAAATCAGAGTAAGTAATACTGCTGGAGCCCTGGCAGAATTTGTCCATATTCATTACCTCAGTTTGTGCAATATGTCTACGGGCTTGATATTCATTTATTTCAGTGCAATATGTCTATCTATTTATAAGCAGTCTCTGGAACTATAAATACGAGAACAATTGGTCAGCTGTCTAATAAGTTTATAGTTGAAAAATATAACTAAAGAACGACTGTTTCTTGGATTTATATTAGTAACTAACTAAAGTAAGTTTATTGCATAAAAACGCATACAATTACAAAAGGAAAGAAAAATAAATCACATTATAACAAATTTACATAAACATAGATAAACGTTGCCTTTTCACTACTGATTCAAGGGTCATGTGTAAAGATACCTAAATAGAACATAATATTTAATTTAATCTTATAATGTAATTTAGAAAGTACGCTCACAACAAAAAGAAAGAAAATAAACATGACTAGAATCTATATATGGATACATGTAGAATATATTAAAACATTCAAATATATTAAGTGATATATAAATACATATATACATCAGGAAAGGTCCTGTCAGGTAACATCTCCTGAATTAAGAGCAGAACGCCAAAAACGGCAGATTGATTTCGCGAGATATACACCTGGGGGGGGGGGGGGGGGGTAAATAGATTGATTTCTATAGAAACACGTTACTAACTTATAAACAAACATACCAGTTACCCCACTACAATTACTTAGTGGTTAATCCCCATCTTTATCGGGGCGGGGGGGGGGGGGGCGAATGTTTAGCACGTGCACGCTGTATCATAACATCTGTCATTGAGTCAACTGGCGGGATTTCGAATCCCCGGTTGTACGTGACAAGGAGTAGGGTCGCCTGTCCAACCTCGTGAGTTTTCTCCGGGTCCTCCAGTTTCCTCCCACTGCTAAAGACCCCTACGCGCAAGCGAATTATTGAATCATCGGTTATCTATGAGAAATTAATAGAAAGTATATCAAATAGGTATTGAACATGGCAATAGCTATTTATTAATTTAAATACTTCTTAGAACCACTATTCCTTTTTGTTGTGAAATAATGTCTTTTTATGAAAAACAAATGTGTCGAGATACATACGCAGTAACTTAAATTGCAAACCATGAAATCTGCAATGTCATTGTTTAAATAAAATTAATAGGTGACACGCTCTTATTTCTTGAGAACACGAACTTGTTTTGGTTTGTAGTTTAATCAAACGCAAGCCTTTCTTTAATTCAAGCCTTGTCAATTAATAACTTCCTTCAACTCGAGTTTATATCAATGAATAACGCCCTTTAACTCTTTAAGGCTATATCTATAAGTAACTTCCGTCAACTCAAGTTTATATCAATGAATAACTTCCTTAAAGACTTCAACTGTCGGCCCAATGAGTTTAAGGTCACATATTATTTCTTTACTTGCTTTAGATCTTATTTATAAGGGGTCGTCGCAACGTTTCAACACTTGAATGAAGACGAATGGGTTTGTGGGTTTGAACGACAAATTGATAAATTGAATGTCCCCCGTCAACATCAACATAACATAGAACAGTACATATATGCAACACAGACAACCTCAACGTAACATGGATACAACACAGACAAACTCAACATAACACATAATAAATAGTACAACCTCAAACATAATATGGACGCAGACAACCCTAACATAACATAGAACAGTACATATATGCAACACAGACAACCTCAACGTAACATGGATACAACACAGACAAACTCAACATAACACATAATAAATAGTACAACCTCAAACATAATATGGACGCAGACAACCCTAACATAACATAGAACAAACAGTACATACATTTAAATAAAACTCGTTACATATAAAGAGGACACAGGAAGAAAAAGATTTTCACGACATATGAGTCAGTTTCGTAAATGAATCCACCATTCACTAATTCTTTGCAATTAATAAACAAAATAGTAATGAACACAATAAACAGAAAGTTGAGTCAGCTTAATATTCATGGACCTCATTGATGTTTTAGTTGAGACAGTTTAACATTCATTATTTGTGTAAATTTGTTTATTATTTGTGTAAATCACTGATGTTTTAGGATATTATCCAGATATCGTTGGTGTAGTATATTTTTTATCATGGATGTTACACAGATATGTATACTGTTGTCACTTTCAGGTAAACCGTATTTCTCTTGTTACACCAGGTAAACTATATCTCCATCTAGTTTATAGATAACTGTTATTACGTCAGGTAAAGGTGTCGTTCAGATCTATTTCAATATATCAATAGCAACAGTTGTAAAAAAAAGTCTTTAAAATGATATAAAATAAAAATAAAAATTTTGTCATTAATAAGCAAGGCTAAATTCATTTCATTTTATTTAAACATTTGCGTCATAAGTAATGTAAGGTGCAGGAAAACTGCACAAACAATGGTAGACAGAGCCAACAATACAAGACGATGACAAAAACAATGGTAGACAAAGCAAATAATACAAGACAATGACACAAACAAAGGTAGACAGAACAAATAATACAAGACGATGACAAGATTAGAAATTTAAACCGACCAACTGTGGAATTAAATTGTAGCATCTGTAGATACAAAAGAGCATATACAATTGTTATATATTTAATTGTTGCACTAACACACCAGCAATTATAATAATGGTTTTATGTCACTTTTTTCAGTGACAATGGTTGATGGTAAATCAGCGTATGCGTGTTACAGTCCAAGTAGTTCACCGTGTACGAATACAACGTTAACATGTAAAGAAGGTCAGGTGATTACTATGGAAGGAAAAAAAGATAACATCACAATTGGACGTTCTGGTAAACAATGTGAAAGTGAAACAGAATGCAACACTGATGAATGTTGTCAATCATCATCAATTGATGAAACAACTACTGCTCTTTTTAAAGATCGTGTTGAAGTTTATGACAGATGTTCCAATCAACAATCGTGTAATGTGACCTCGCCTTATGTTAATAATACAGATTATGGTTATATAAAGTATTCCTACTACTGTATAGACGGTAAGTTACTTTGCCTTATATGGTTATATAAATTATATCTACTACTGTATAGACGGTAAGTTACCTTGCCTTATGCATACATGCCAACTATTCCGATTTTGTCGGAATCATTCCGATTTTCTGAGTCTAATTCTGAATTCCGATTTTACTCTTTATAATTCCGTTTTTTAAAATTTATTGGAAGAAATTGATTATATTTCATGCCTGACCTTTTTGATTGATAAAATCCCTCTCGTTTTATTTTTACATTGACGACTGTCTCGGCATTCTCGCTGTTTGTTGTGAATCTGATGGCGATACTGTTTGTCGTAGTATGAGTCGGTAAAACAACGAAAATAGTCGAAAACATGTGTCATGTTTTCCTTATTATTATATAAAATGGAATAAGCTATTATGTCTGGACTAATCAAGATCAAAATGTCATGTGGTTATTTCCGTCATTTGCCGTGTCTAATTTGCATAAGACAAACAAAATGGCTTCCAAAACAAATGTCAGACAAAAATACCGGGAAACTTACGGCAAAGAATTTCCAGGAACCACTACGTCCTCGCGTGGAGGCGACGAATTCGCATTTTGTTTAGTCTTTCGTATATAAATTGATAAAAAAAAAACCTCAGATGCATGGACCTAAATCACCAGCTGTTTTTATCCAATAATACAAGGTACTGCTTTAAATAGGTGCTAATTTCTCAATACCCCACGCCCTTCAAGTCTCCGGCGCCTGCGGCGCCTCCAGCAATCACGGTGCTTCGACCGATCGAACTTGGACCTGCGGTCCTCGCTCTACCCTCAATACAAGGCATTCTGATTTTCAATCTCCTCAGGTTGGCATGTATGCTTATATGGTTATATAAATTATATCTATTACTGTATAGACGGCAAGGTTAAAGATCTTGGATGTTGATGATCATTTCCCGGTACTTTACGACCGGTTATTTATACCGTGAAAGAGTTTAATAGATTTATGGACTTGGTTATTCATTGAAACTGTTACTAACTAGGGTTTAATGGATTCATGAATTTGGTTAATTTATTGAAACTGTTACTAATTGCTATTCGGTAACTAGGGTTTATATACAGTAACCATGCTCACAAAGTGGATTAAATGGTATACACGAGGAATGAAGTATAGATTATTCCAAAAAGCAAATAAATTATAAAAAAAATTAAATAAACGAACAATGCTTAATAATATTTGAGTAAACGTGTATAATCAGGGCGATAATCCACATAGAAATACGGAAACCGCTTTAATCTGCATAGGCAATGAAAAATTCGACGACCTTTTTTTTCTATTAACGTTTAGAGAAAAAATATAACTAACTTATTTCTATGAGATCCACACTGCCCGAAAAGTATTTTCTCGTCTTTTTCTTGTCCACTGCATATGCCCGAAAATATGCCCGAAGCTCTCTTATGATAGGTATGCCCGAAAAAACGGTATTGCCCGAAAAACGGGCATCGGGCCGGAAAGCGGCAGAGGAAACTAGCAGTAAAACGCGTTTGCGACCGTCAAATATTCCAAAATTTTCTTGGCGGGTCATTCGCCTCTCAAAGAAAACCGGCGCCGCTGTCTATATAAATCCGAAATTTTTCGGGCATTTCTAGTTTTGCTTCCCTAACTGTCATCGAGCCCTAATAAAACACTAATTTTACTTTTCTTGTAATTGAATATCACGAATTTGTACTGAGTTGACTATGGATTAAAACATTTTGTCTGGAGCCACTCTACTTTGTGCGACATTTTTCAGGCATCGATTATTATTTGTGAATGCAGATGCAACAGTCTGATTGGATGGTTAGAATTCAGAGTGGGATTTCAGTTACAAAACCATTGGATACTTTTGGAGTTGATTACACGGGCTAGAATAGCAGAAAACGCATTGACGGTGATTAAATTTTCAAATTTTTCTCCGGGAGGATGAGGCCTCCATATACCGCGCGACGATTGATTGGTTGTTTGGAAATCGGGTCAGCCAATTAGGCTATATTGGACCAAATTGAAGTTGCTGTATTCACAGACTGGAATAACAGGAAAACGCGTTTGCGGCAGTTACATGTTCAAAATTTTCTCCCAACGGTCCCGTCTTCGTTGACTGTAAACGATTGATTGGAATTCGAGTCAGCCACCTTAATAAGGCTATAATATATATTCGACCACTTTGAAGTTGCTTTGTTCACCGGCTGAAATAGCAGGAAAACGCGTTTGCGACAGTTAAATTTTCAAAATTTTCTCCTACCGGTCCCGTCTTCGAGGACTGTAAACGATTGATTGGAATTCGAGTCAGCCACCTTAATTAGGCCAAATTAGACCGCTTGAAGTTGCTTTGTTCACTGGCTGAAATATCGGGAAAACGCGTTTGCGGCAGTTAAATTTTCAAAATTTACTCCTAACGGTCCCGTCTTCGAGGACTGTAAACGATTGATTGGAATTCCGAGTCACCCACCTTAATTAGGCTATATTAGACCACTTTGTAACAATTAAGGGACATAAGGGCATTGTTCAATTATATCATTGCACAGAATGTAATCAGCTATATACTTGCAAGAAATGTCAAACTTGGCATTTTGCAGAAATGGGAGTTTCGAAATTTCTTTTAAAATAAGCAATCATGCTTCCCTGGGAAGTGCATTTAAAATAAAGAGTTCTCTATCGCGAGAGTTTGATCCCAGGGCATGTATATTGCAAAATAATAACCTTCTATACTATTACACCATTAATTATAAAGATGCTGCCATAGCATTGAAATGAAATGAAATGGGGTTTAACGTCCTACTGTTCTGCTCCTATACTGGGCTAATGAAGACGGACATACGCCATACAGTGTGCTATGAGGGAAATTTTGCCCGTGCAGCGGCACTATCGCCTACTCTTATATCGAATTCCAACTGCCAAGGGATCTTTTACGTGCATTCTAATGTATACACGGGACCTCGGTTTTTCGTCTCATCCGAAGGACTAGACAGCTGTCCTTGTCAGGCCCTCCGTTCTGCACCACTGACAAGGGGAAACCACGTCGGAAAATCAGGATGAACTTTCTCGGCCAATGCAGGGATGCACTTCTTGAAATGTTGACTAGCATGATATAATACAGTATTTACTTCGTTTGGCTTGAGAAGATAAATCAGTATTTATATAATTACTTTTATTTTGTCGGATAATTTGTATATTCTTTAATTAAAACAGATCTAAGTTGTTTTTTATTTGTGCCTTTGTACAGATCAACAGAATATAAACATTAGAAATGATATTGAAGACAGTTTTAAAGGGGATATCTACATCCATCTCAATGGATCATCTGGATCTTGGCTACCACGATGTTGTCAAATCACCAGCTTTGTTACTATAACTGTAAATAGTTATTATATCAACCTGGGTGCTGAATCCTGTCGGGGGATTAAAATAAACAACCAGACCTTATTTAACTGTAGTACAGAAAATAGATTGATTAGGTTACGTAAAAAGTTGATTTCTGGTGTAGAAATTGATATCGACATTCTACAATTTGAACCACAAGACCTTATATGGATAAACCTACATATAGGTATTATGTTGTTTATTTTCCATATACCCAGCGTGATAATTTTAAGTGTATAGATAGAGTTTTGTGGGGGTAATGTTTCGACCAAATGAATTTACACAGTTTACTCTATGACAATATGCAATAAAACACCAGACCACCAGACCAGCCCAAAAACATAGATCAAAGAGGTTTATCATCTTTTATAGGAATTATGTTTTAAGGAAATATGTCTGCTTCTCTTTTCTATTTTTAGATCCTAGGTCTCAGATAAATGTACGATGTCGTTCTTGTAATTCATATGAAACATCTTCACAGGAAACAACTTCAAACGGTAACGTACACTTGTATCCTATACCACCAATACGTTAAACAACTTCACAAATCTTAAGTTTGTGATAGAAACAGACAAATGTATTAAACCACCAACAATTAATGATAAGCTTACAATTAACTATGTTAAAACTTAATTATTATATCAAACATTAATGTTCACCTATTCCAACAAGATAAAGAATCTGCTACTTTTAATTTACAATCAATCAATCAGTTTAGTATCAATCTATTTCTTTACCATATAATTTTACCCTTAAAGAGTTCTTCCTGTATATCATGTGTATCTTTATGTCTACCCTTTGATACTTACTAATGTTTGTTGTATTATAGGTACAGATATAACTACAGCATTGTCACACACCACCACCTCGCCTAAACATAGATGTAAATATATTTATGGTATGTTAACGTATTTATTTATTTATGTGATTGAGGAGGGGAGGAGGTATTTTAATTTCTCTCTTTACTTATCCCCACAACATAACATAACTTATTTTAACATATAGAGATAGGATTGATTGAATTAAATCTACTCTAAGCTGCCTTCTTTATTCTTACTACACAGCCATCTTATAAGGTGAAGGTCTATTGAGGCCTATTGTGTTATTTATGACAGGCTATCAACTTTCTATTCATGTTTTAATATTAAAGAAACATTATGGGAGATTCGATAACGACTTGGCAGTTCTCACTACAATAGTTAAAACCCAGATAATGTAAAGGCAATTTGCTGAAAATGTCATTCAAATTGATCAACTATGAACCGATAACTAAGCGATTGAAATTTCCGCCTAGCCTCGATCATCATTACTAAAGTCAGTACGATAAACAGCATAGTCTCGATTATCCATTTAATCGTTAAATCCTGAAGGAAAGTTATTCAGTAAATCAGCTCATAATCCACTAAAGATCACAGGCTAGAGATGCCATCCAGAGTTGATCATGGTCGGGATAGGTTAATTAATGTCTAATTAAGAATTTAGGTAACATTTCAGGTCTAAAGAAAGACCTGCAATAGACAGATTTAGCTCTTGCATAATGTATGCTTAATAATTTTTGTATTTTATTACAGCTCTGTCTGGTTTCCTGATTTTAACCATAATATTGTCCGTGTTGCTAAGTATTGTCATTGTGTGTTTACTCAGGTAAGCTGAACACTATAAATAGCTTTAGTTTAAGACCTTCCATGCCATCTGGCATCGCCCAGAATCTAATTAGGTCAAGTTCGAGTTCTTTTTTCCTTTAAGTTCACGATCCATCAGATATAACATAGGGTACAATAGAAATAAACTACAATATTAACAAAACAAATATCAAACACATGTATACAACACATATTAAATTAAACGGGATTACATATTTAAATATAAGGTAGGATTATAGGAGAATATTTAATTATGAACGTTGCTTCTTTGTCAAATATAGGAATTTCCGTAGGTCAATCAATGCATTAATTTTATCAGTAGTTAATAATTATATGAACTTATAAAAACGGTGATTGTTAAAAAAGTATTTCTTTATACATTTAGTCCTAAATTCATTCCGTATCAAAATTGCTTTTTTAAGATGATTAGTGATATCCTCATATATCTGAACCGTACGATAAAATATTACATGAAAGTGTATGAAATACAGAAGGTTTTGTTGAAATATTGAAATAATCATCATTTCAAACTTTTTGAATTCCAAATAAAGCTTTTCTACCCTGGTCTACTAATTTCCGCGGTAATTATAATTAACTACAATATCTACATCAACTCCACACTCAGTGGTTTACATCTTTACACGATTTATAAAAATCATGTTTTTTTTCTTATCAGTGTTAACCCATTTCTGATTATGGCTGTAAAGAGAATTTGAACGATTTTCAAGTTAAATGTTATTTAAAATATACACAGCAAAAATAGTTAAGCAACCCCCTAATTTTTCAGAGGGATGAACTTCATGGAAGTAACTTTTTTTTTGCTGTGCATGTTTCACATAACATTTAACTTTGTCATATGATCTGATAATTAACGCCCTCATAAATTAATTTATATCCTAAGTTAGATCAACAACACAATCTCATTTTATTTAAAACTTCTATCGAGAAGAACCTGTAAAATAAATATAGCATCAACTGTGGAGTGATTTTTACGAAATCCAAGCTGGTACGCGCTAATTCTGTTATTGTTTTTATCAAATTGCAACTATTTGTTATTCAAAATCTGATTAAAAAATGAGACCAAACCAGACACAGTCTTAAATCCTGTATAATTCTCGGGATTATTGGATATTGTTAAACAATGAATTTTCATCATATTGTTCTGAATATATTGATAATCAGGAGATGTTAATTATAAATATTGATCCAATGCCTATAAATAGAATCACCTGGGGACTACCTGACTACTCAATTCAATGATATATTGTACAGGCATATTTTATATTTCACCATTGCTTGATAAGGGCAATAGAATCTAAGTCGATACTTCCAGCAGACATCACCTTACAGTTTATGAATGAAATCTAAATGAAATGGAACGGGGTTTAACGTCCTACTGTTCTGCTCCGAACTGGGCTAATGAAGACGGGCATACGCCATACAGTGTGTTATGAGAGAAATTTTGCCCGGACAGCGGCACTACGGCCTACTCTTATATCGAATTCCAATTGTCAAGGGATCTTTTACGTACACGCCAATGTGTACACAGGACCTCGGTTTTTCATCCAATCCGAACGACTAAACAACTGTCATTGTCCAGAACCGTCGTGCATCACTGACCAGGGGGAAGCACGCCGGAAAATCTGGATGAACCCTTACAGTTTATACGAAAGCAATAATAATACTATCTTTTTTCTAAATATGCTTTTATTTTATTTCAGGAAACAACAAGTCAATAAATGCTTAAAAATGAATTGTACAGATGCAAGGAATAGTAATATTATTATTGACGGTTCCCAATACCTATCTAATAAAGCTTACTATGAAGCAATAAATGGCCATCACTATGAAGATATATTATAAAACAAATAAAATCACATTGTTCACCCTGGAAACAAGACGGTGTTATTTACCTTTATAACATATGGCATAAGGAAGTGAAATTAATATATGCCTAAGTTAAAAATTACGCGTATGAATTGAATTCAAAGGATTGGTTAGTTTGGCTTTTTCGAATGTATCCAAGATCGAGTTCTTCCAAATGGGCTGTGTATTATTTTGTATGCCTCTTTTCACCCAACAAATATGCTTTGATTTAGCCAAAGTAAAACAAGCCAACAGTGAGGCTGATGTCCCCCGCCAAAATCCCAAAATAAATAGATGACATATGTTAATTAATCACACATTTATACACTAAGTTTCATCACTCTCTATCGGATAGAATCAGGATTGTCCTGTCCCAAACCATCGACCGATGAAATTGGTTAGCTCTGTTTACCTTCAGCTCAAAATGTTAATCATTAAACTCGGTCAAGACATTCACCTAATGAACATCGTTGTGAATGTTTGTGGCACGTGACCCAGGAAAGTTTTGTTGTCGTAACGTTAACGTTTTTACAAACGTTACAGGATACCTTTACTGAACATTAATGTTAACGTATTGAAAACGTTAACGTTAACGTTTCGAAAACATTAATTATTATGGTTATTTCACGTTAGTTTTGAATGTTCATCTGACGTAAGCCAGGAAAGTTTTGTTGTCGTAAGGCCAACGTTTTTTTACAAACGTAACAGGATAAGTTAACTGAACATTAATGTTAACGTTTTGAAAACATTAGTTATTCTGTTATTTCACGTTCGTTGTGAATGTTTGTGGCACGTGACCCAGGAAAGTTTTGTTGTAACGTTAACGTTTTTACAAACGTTACAGGATACCTTTACTGAACATTAATGTTAACGTATTGAAACCGTTAACGTTAACGTTTTGAAAACATTAGTTATTATGGTTATTTAACGTTAGTTTTGAATGTTCATCTGACGTAAGCCAGGAAAGTTTTGTTGTCGTGAGGCCAACGTTTTTTTACAAACGTAAGAGGATAAGTTAACTGAACATTAATGTTAACGTTTTGAAAACATTAGTTATACTGTTATTTCACGTTCGTTCTGAATGTTTGTGGCACGTGACGCAGGAAAGTGTTGTTGTCGTAACGTTAACGTTTTTACAAACGTTACAGGATACGTTTACTGAACATTAATGTTAACGTTTTGAAAACATTAGTTATTATGGTTATTTCTCGTTAGTTTTGAATGTTCATCTGACGTGTCCCGGGAAAGTTTTTTTTGTCGTTCTCCCAACTTTCTAAAAGAATGTTATAAAATGTACTCGTGGCACGGATTAAAAAGGTTTTCATAAAATGATCCTAGGACGTTATCTAAACCTTTATTTCGGTTCGCTTTATGTTATGGGGAAGGTACCGGTAACGTCTACAGCATGTATTACACTTCACCTCTTTAACGTTCCGGATAACGTCAATAGCATGTGTTAAGTTCTCCTAACCTAAACGTTACAGATAACCTCTGGAGAATGTGTTAAATCCCTTCATTGTAAGGTTTCAGATAACGTCTATAGCATGTGTTTTATTTCTCTCCTTCAACGTTACAGATATCATCTAGTGCAGGTGTTAAAATCCTCTCGGTAAACGTTCCCTATAACGTCTAAAGCATGTGTTAATTTCTAACCGCAATACGTTACATATAACGTCTACAGCATTTGTGAAATTCCTCTCCATAAACGTTCCCGTTAACGTCTACAGCATGCGTGAAATACCCCTCCATAAATGTTCTCGATAACGTCTATAGCATGTGTTAAATACCCCCTCCCCCCAACATTACCGATAACGTCAATAGCACGTCTTTTATCCCAACCCTAAAACGTTACCGATAACGTCCATAGCAGGTGTTCAATTCTCCCTCTAAAACGTTTTCTATAACGTCAATAGCATATGCTAAATCCCCACCCTAATACGTTACCGATAACGTATATAGCAGGTTTTCAATTCTCCCCCGGAACCGTTCTCTATAACGTCTATAGCATGCATTAAATTATTCCCCCTAAAAGTTACAGATAATGTATAACTCAAGTATAACCTGTAATATCATTTCTTCAAAGGTCAGCTTAATTCTATCATCACAAATATGAATATTAACCAGAATTTTTTTTTAAAATAAATTTAATAAGTAATGATAACAATAAATTAAAAAGTATAGGCCTAAATCAATATCACAGAAATCATACATCAATATCACAGAAACATTAAATAATCCTACAGTAATCAGAATCACAGATTTTTTTCATTATTTACAGAACATACAATACATGTTTTGCTCAACTTCTACTAAAGCTTTATGTTTCGATAGCAATTGTCACAAGTTAAAACCTTAGCCTACACAAAATTTTTCAAAGTTATCAAGGGCAATAACCTGGGCAGTAATTATCGGAAATCATTGAAACTCAATAGAATTCTTCATCTCGTGACCTTAAACGGTGTGTATGATATATAAACTTAATCAGATTATGATTTTGTTGACAATCAATAGGCCTTCTTCTAGGTGTTGTGGTAGAAATACAAAAATCATTCAACAGAGAAATTTGTTTCTAAGAAACTTCTAATTAGCAAAATGCACTACCACTATAATAAATAGGTTTATGTTTGTACAAGCTAAAAAGCTTATCATGTATGCTCTGGAATACAAAATTGTAAAAGGAACAAGCGGTTGTCATGCAAGATATGCAAGAGATGGACAGAGAACAAGCTAAAAAAGTGATTTTTCATACAATCAGGGGCCATAACCCAGGATGATATGGTCCGACATGCGACAATATCCAAAAGGAACCACGAGTTTCAGGATATAAAATTGTGACATACATGTACATCTATACATGTTGGTGGTCCAATACCTTGGTGTTACATAATTTTACAGTATTGATGTACAAGACGCAGTCATTTTTTTTTGTCTGGCAGTTCCGGTACCATTTTCACAAAATCCAAACATAAATGTCATAAGGGTGTAACAGTGATATATTTGAATGTTTTTTACAATCAAATAAAAATTGTGACCTCTAGAGGGTTTACAAATTAAAAACATGATATTTCGTACAATCAGGAGGCATAATCGAGGACGTTATGGTCAGATATGCGCTAATATTGATATTTAATAATCACGTTTTAAGTTTCATCAAAATCAGAGGGCCAATAACCTAAAACGCGACTTTTCGTACAATCAGGGGCTATAATCCCAGAAGTCACAATCCGATATGCACTAATAACTAAAGGAACCAAGATCATTGGTATAGAAACATATAAAGATTTATCAAAATCAGATAAAAATTGTAACATACTTTTATACTATTTCTTGTGTACAAGGACTGAGGAGCAGTCATTTTGTCGGGCAGTTTCGGTTAGATTTTCACGAAATTGTGACCTTAGGCACCACAAGCTAAAAACATGAGGGGTAATAACCAAATGGAACCAATATTTTGGGGTTATACACATACATTTCATGTTTTATCAAAATCAGATAAAAAAAAACTTTTACACAATTTGCATACACAGGGACAGTGTCCATTTCGTCTGGTATAAACGTGCTATAAACATGATTTTTCGTTCAATAAGGGGCCATTATTTGGATTCCACAAGTTACGGACTGAAAATGCCAATATTAGACCAAGGTTGCATTCTTACTGCAATGCAACGGCGACACAAAATGGCCTCAGAGCGAGTCAATATCGCCATAAGCGTGGTGGAAACGCCAGATATCGTGCTGTGGTCTCTATGGGTGCCAATGAATGCCGAGTCATAGGGTCTGTTTCGAGCAATTTTACCTGGAGAGCTGTGATACCGCAGTGGGAAAGCGAATATCGTGAGACAAATGTGCGAACATCTCCATGAACGTAGTACATGCACAAAATACCACAATAATACAGGATATGATAATAATAGTTAATACCAGTTTTCAGGCCAAATGGTCATTTTTAACTGAAAGCCGTCATGTTTCTGTGTTAAAAAACCCTCAAAATGTGATTTCCAAGCAAGTGATTTCGTGTAAAACACGAGTTACCACTTACGTACCTTGGTTACAACTTCCAAACTTGCTCCAAAATTTTAAAGGGCATATTTGACGCATTTGTCAATTAAGGGTGTTGAGCAGTCTAAAATGCACATTTTAAAGCTAGCACTGTAATTTTTGTTGATAAGATATGACATCTTTTGTTACATGGGGTGATAAACTACATATTAATCACCAAAACAATACCAATTTTTTCTTACCAGCTATGTTCCAAACTTATGATAACAAGCCAACGGTGAGGCTGATGTCCCACGCCGAAATCCCAAAATAAATAGAGGACACATATTAATTAATCGCACATTTTTCAAAAGCATCAAGCAATCAAACTGATTATCAACTATACACTAAGTTTCATCAATTTATATCAGACAGAATCAAAGTTATCTTGTCCCAAACCATCGACCAATGAAATTGCTTAGCTTTGCTTAGCTTTAGCTTGAAATGTTAATCATTAGTCAAGGTAATGATATGCTGAATCTATACTCAGAGTTTCATCACTCTCACTTAATTATAACCACTGTTATCATGCCCCAAAGCATCAACCAATCAGATTGCTTATTTCTGCTTACCGTAAGCAGACAATGTTTATCACTTAACTCCATCAAGGCATTCACCTAATGAACGCCTACACCAAGTTTGAACATTCTACCTCAATTAGAAGGAGAGTTATTGTGTTCCAAAGTCTCAACCAATCCAATTGCTTAATGCTCTGCTTACACAGAGCAGAAAATGTTCATTATCAAACTTAGTCAAGGTATTGATGTGATAAAACTGTACACCAAATTTCATCACTCTCACTTAATTAGAATTAAAGTCATCATGTCCCAAAGCATCAACCAATCAAATTGCTTATATCTGCTTACCATAAGCAGAAAATTAGGCATTGACCTAATAAACACCTACACCAAGTTTGAACATTCTAGCTCATTTAGAAGGAGAGTTATTGTTTTCCAAAAGTGTGACGGACAGACAGACGGACGAACCCATTTTAATAGTCCCGTGCTTTCTTTGGAAATGAAATGAAATGAAATGGGGTTTAACGTCCTACTGTTCTGCTCTGCTTTCTTTGAAAGGCGAGGGACAATAAAGAGGGTTGGTGAGAAC